TGATCTCTTTTTTTCATGTTAAATATATTGCCCTATCTCCAGCCTAAATGTGTTCTCCATCATATATTTGTGATGAATACTATAGGCCGAGTCAGTGCAGACAATCATGTGACTTCCACGTAAGATCTTATAGATTAGATAGTCACATCGTGACAAACTTACAATTTTAGGATTAGGTCTATTATTAGAGCAGTACTTATAACGAATAGGTCATAATTCTACATGGACAACACCGTGTATGAAGATGTCATGGGACGATATGAACTGACTGGGAGAAAGGAACAAGGATGATGAAAAATTCGCAACTTTATGTGCATTCAACAAAATGGTTGTAGGCGGCACAATATCCCCATACAAACGCATACATATAGCTTCATGGACCCCACCTGATCACACAACAGATAACCATATCATATTTGCATCAGCAAAAACCAGTAAAAAAGACCACAACATCTGAGAGGACTCACGGAATACAGTGGATAGTCTGGATAAAACTTTTCGATTCGGACTTCTCAGATGATGTGGCCGTTCTTTCCCATACACACCAAAAATGCAGATGAACACAACCAGTGTATTAGAAGCATCTGCATCAATAGGCCTCAAATACAACTCAGAGAACACCAACCAACCTGATCACACTCGATGGAGAAGCTCTGGAAGATGTGGAATCTTCCACATGTCTGGGGAGCATCGTCGATAAACGACAAGAATCCGATGGAGATACTTAGGCAAGAGTTGGTAAAACAAGGGCATCACTTCCAAAGGTGATGAACATACGGAACTCAAAAATACTATCAACCAATATCAGAATCAGAATCCTCGATACGGACGTCAAGACAGCGCCAGTGTGAAGAACCATCAGAAAAATTATCGAAAATGTTCAAGTATTCCCAAACAGTTGTCTACTCAAGATATTCAGTGTCTGTTGGACAAATACCATCAGCAGCAGCCCACCATGGGAGAAAACAAACCAGCTTCCTTGTCCTCACACACCACTGTGAAGATATCGTTGACATTCAACATCTTCCCCCACTGGTGAATAGTGACCATGTCGTACTTTCCTTTAAGTTCCGGATACATGGTATAGAATTTGCATCGGCTCCACCCCGTCCTAATATCTGGAGAGCTAATATTCCGGCAATCAGGGACTATGCTATCTCAATTGACTGGTCGGTCGATGCTGATGGATCGATTGATGATGCATGGAATAGGTTTAAGTCTACGTTCGAATCCGTAACTCAACCGTTTATCCCATGGTCAGCACGTAAGTTATCATATTGCCCTCCATGGATTAATAAGGAAACCCGGAAGCTGTTGAAGCGTAGGAAACACTTCTTGGACTTATTCTTGTCAACAGGTCAGGCATCATTTAAGTGCGAATATAAAAAAATCCGGAATATATGTAAAAAGACCATAGCTAAATCCCGCACGGCTTACGAACGACAGTTGGCATACGATAGCCGTACCTGTCCGAAGCGACTGTTTTCGTACGTTAAAAGGCGGTCGAAACGTAGTGATGGTATCCCCTCATTACTGTTAAGCGAAAATTCAGCTTTATTGGCTGAATCTGATCTGGCGAAAGCGGAGTTATTTGCTAACTATTTCAGTGAAGTCTACTCTACGTGTAGTGTTACAACTACTTGTCCCGTTGACAATGAGATACCAGCCATAGGACCTTTACACGTGACAGAGGATATAGTTCTTCCTTTGATAACTAACCTAAAACATTGTAAGATACCGGGCTTCGATGGGTTACACCCACGTTTGCTGTCGTCGCTTGCGGACATTATCTCAAGACCGCTCACGATGCTCTTCAACATGTCCCTTTCACAGGCTCAACTACCTAGAGACTGGAAAGACGCCATAGTTAGTCCTATATTTAAGGATGGTCAGAGACGGATAGTATCTAACTACCGGCCTGTTAGCCTGACCAGTATAGTAGTTAAGTTACTTGAAAAATTAATTCGGGCTAAGCTACTGAGCCACATAGATTCGTACAATCTGTTAACTCCCGAGCAACATGGGTTTCGTAACAAGCATTCATGCTTGACTAACTTACTCATTGCGAGAGAGGATTGGACAGCTGCACTAGACAACGGCCAGTCTGTCGACGTGATATTCATAGATTTTAGCAAAGCGTTTGATAATGTTTCACACTTAGGTCTTATGCAAAAGCTCTCGAGCTTTGGTATAACAGGTGCTATACAGGAATGGATAGGAAGCTTCTTATGTGACCGCAGACAGAGAGTGAGAGTCAATGGAACTCTATCCGAATGGAAACCGGCCAAAAGTAGTGTACCCCAAGGCACCATCTTGGGCCCTTTACTTTTCCTTCTGTATATTAATGAACTACCTTTATTACTTAAGTCGTCGAAGTTATTGTTTGCGGATGATGTTAAAATCTGGAGAGCAATAAGAAATGAGACTGATCGTTGTTATCTGCGAGCAGATTTAGACGAATTAGTTAGGTGGGCTCATGATTGGGGCCTGGAAGTTAATTCTAGGAAGAACGTGTTCATGCACATCGGGCATGATGTTAGTTACCACTATACCATTAATGGTACATCTCTGCCACGCGTTCATGCGCATAAAGTCTTAGGAGTAATTATAAGTCACGACTTAAAAACCACAACGCACTGCAGTGCGGTTGCTTCCAAAGGCTATCGCGCGCTATGGTCGCTTCGCAGAGCATTTAAATGCTTTGACGAGGATATGTTTCGAATTTTATATCCCACCTATGTAAGGCCACACTTAGAATACTGTATCCAAGCAGCTAGCCCTTGTCTGATAAAGGATACTAAATCGCTTGAGCGTGTCCAGCGTGTAGGGACAAAATTAGTAAAGGGTCTTTCCAAACTCCCTTACGATGAGCGTTTAAAACGTCTAAATCTTTTCCCCTTATCTTATCGTAGGACGCGAGGTGACCTTATACTGGCATTTCGTATCTTTAATTATGATCTGGGTGTTAATATGTCTTACCTTTTTGCTCCCTCCAGCACTAATAATCTCCGGGGTCATAGCAAGAAGGTTCTGAAACCGCGATCTAATAAATTAAAGGTGGGGTCCCGTTTTTCTCATCGAGTGGTCAATGACTGGAACGCTTTACCAGAACAAGTGGTATCAGCACCATCAGTGAACATTTTCAAAAAGAAGCTGGACCTTCACTGGAAGGAAATCTGTCAGGATTAACACAGGTTCATCAACCTACTATCCTTATTACTGAAGACTGAAGACTGAGACTGAAGAGAAAACTAGAAAAAGGCTACGAAGTGAATTGGGACACACATTGAGGAAACCATCAATCTGCGTCACGAAGCAAGCGTCAACTTGGAATCCTAGTGGGAAACGAGAAAGAGGACGGCTGAAGAACTCACTGAGCAGGAAATACGAAGCAGACATGAATATAAACGGTTCATCGTTGAACAATCAACCAAACTGAATTAGTCCCCATACGTCAACTTCTTTGACTATGAGAAGGCGTTTGACAGTGTGGATCGGAGAACATCGTGGAAACTTCTTTGGCACTACAGAGTGCCTGAGAAATCCTCAACATCATATGGAATTCGTACAACGGACTACAGTAAAATGTCGTGCATGGAGGTAATCTAACAAAAGACTTCAGACAAAACCTTAACCTCCCTCTACCTCTTTCTCTTGGTGGTTGATATGATTATGAATGACTCCATATCTGAAGCGAAGCACGGAACACAATAGACAGCACGCATGAAGTAAGACGATTTGGACTTCGAAGATGACTAAGCTCTTCTATCTTATATGCACGAATAAATGCATGTAAAGGCAACCACTGTACCAGCAGCCTGTCCATCAGTAGGCCTCAACATACAATGGGGAAAATGCATGACACTTGATGGAGAAACTTTGGATGTCCGCTGACCGGATCTACTGTGGGAAAAAATAAACCAGTCTCCATCTGGAAAGGAATATGGGAAAAGACTCTTGAATCCGATGGGAAATACATCGCGAAAGTTATCAAACTTCTCAGCTCAAGTGTGGCCTTCAGAAGTACTGGACATTATATTTCTGATTTTCGCGTAGATCGGGTCAGTGTAGTTAGTGATGTGACTTCTACGTAAGGCCTCATAAATTAGATAGACACATCATGACACATCTACCACTTTAGGATTTGGTCTTCGAGTACAGTATAGCTTATATCAGTTTAGTTTAACACTGGAGTTACTTGACTGTAATAAAGTTAAGTGATACTCTGGCATCAGTGTTATTTTTATTCCAATACAATTGCTGATTATTCCAGTGTGAATACATATATAAATTCAATTCAATTACAAAGAGGTCTGATTCTCTTAGTAATCTGTTACTACTATTAATTTTTTTAAACTTGTTTTCATTTGGTTCTATTGTACAATAACTTTTTACTGAAATTTCACACGCCAGTTAATGAATCTAGCTAAACATACATTCGGAAAAATTCGTGTTAGAGCCCAAGATCTGTTCTCATAATAAAGGACATCAGTGTGTCCACATAGTTCAACCAGTAATAGAAGAGTCTGACCTATTTTATCGCTAGAAGAACTCAAAATAATTCGTCGAAAGTGTGAAGGACATTCTATTATTTAACTGTTGACCCTTTTTATGTCTTAAGTGTAAGGCTTGTTCGTACCTTGTATACCACAGTTAACACCTTAAGGTTTGCATACAATTTAAATGTCCGAATCTCCGCTTCCGGGCAGATTTTCCAAATAATATCTGCACAATCTTGAAGCAGCGTTAGGCACCTCCAAGTGTGAAGTTCAAAACCTAAAATATATGTTTAACCCCGAAGTGATTTCAGATGAATTCCTCCCTCTGTGTAGATTGTTGAGGACACAACATAAAAGTAAAGAGACGTTCTCAGACATCAAAAATCGTGATCATATGAGCAAATGTAAGGTAAAACATCTAAAACTCCTGGAGGAATCATTTGATTAGTAATGAATGTATAGGTTGGAAAATGACCTTACCAGAGGCGCGTAAACAAGCCTGACTCACAGATGACCTTGTGGCGGGAGTTGTAGGTGATGTCGAATGTTGGGATGATTTCCATGAAAATGTCTGCTTCATGGGAAGCTGAAAAGTCTTCATCCAATGCAATTCCTAGGTAATTCAGTTTTTCCTTGTAAAAGATCACTTATAGAAGATCAGTGCAATAAAACTCGTTCTGTAGGGAGTCAATAATAAGTCTACGAGCCTTAAATTATTTTCACAGTACCACTATGGAGTTTTAGTTTGCATTTTATGACACCCTTAACAATAAGCCATCGTCTTGTTACTTTCTTAGACGTAAGACATAATGGAAGACGAAAATTCACTTCAGTTTTTAAATCGTTGATATTAGTCTACTTCTTAATCTCTTGGAATAAGAAGTATTTAAGAGTTTAAACAGGTCACCCGAGGGTATTTTAAGGCTTCGCTCCCTGTCACTGAAATTTTTCCGATCCTTAAAACGTGAAGTGTGTGGCTCGATCCAATATCATATTGGCGTTCCATGACTCAGTGGTTTTATTCTAAGTTCCAAGTCCATTGACTTACTATTTGCTATTCAAATTTATTTATTTGAGGGAGACCTACTGAGTTCATGTTCAGTATCAAAACCGCTTTGTTGGCCCTTCGGACGAAGAAACTTATTGGTAAACTGTCATAATCTACAATAACATTCATTCTCTACCCAGTTTACATCCATCCCATCCAAGGTCTCATAGCTTATTCGTCTGTCCACAATTTTCTGCTTTACGTAGTCGCGATCAGCAAAATTGTAGTGTGATTTACTGGCCAGTCGCCATAATGTGATGCTTGTATTTGACATCACAACTGACCACAAACTAACTTAACGTTATTTCAGCAAACCAGTCTTCGCCTAGTCAGAATAGCACTCGGCTTGTTTATCAGTTTAGCTTTTGTCTCATGTTATCCAACTACAGTAACTAAATTAATGCTTTCGTGTTAATAGTCTGCATATAAAATGTAACTCATGTGCAGAAACCTGCATGGTTCCATCTCGCACAGTTAATCTATCGTCTGCCCATCCTTCATCCCTTCAACACTTTGTATATCAGTCATACTTTTTTCTATTGTTAGTGGGCACCATATTTATGAAAAAGCAGATGATACTTATTTAGCTTAAACGACTAGAAGCCCCATATACTGGTATTGTAATTTTAGTGTCATATCTCAGTCAGTCACAACGTAGAACTCCGTACGTACGTACATTGGTTCGAGTCGCCATACTACATTATTACACAAATGCAGTTGTCGATTCAAATCCCTTTAGTGTCATATTTAAAGGTGAAAAAAAAACGACTTGACACACCTTTATCAAAACGTTATTGACACTAAGCATTTAGGATATGTGTAGTTCCTTATAGTTTACTGGAATTCTTTCTGGACCTTATTGTTCTACATTTCTGGCCAATAAGTTCACACTTCTATCATGCTCAGCTTACTAAAAGCAAGTGCAAATTTTGAGATTACACTTTTCCCTAATAGACCAACATATTTTCCCTGATACTGAATAGTTAAAACCTTATCAAGTATTCACGATTGTTCCATATATGTTTAATCATCTAATCAGTAGGTCATTATTTTGTATTTACCAAAATCCGATATTGTGACTAATTTGCAGCAACAAAATAAAGGTTTATATGCTCACTTATTAACCACGGTTTATACATCAGATAGTGATACTATCGGCTACCCATATTGGAGAAATTACACTTGTTTAGTGTCCCATTAGTTTGCTGCAACTGATCCCTGTTCTGTCTTATTACTCCGGTTTAGCGTTTAACTTCATTTTGCATTTTGCAGTTACAGATGTATTAATTACAAAAACAATACCTTTTTGCTTTGACACATAAATTTTCTCAATGCGGGCAAAAAATTCTGTTCTTAGACTCTGTAGCCTTAGTTTGGTGCAAATAATATTGGATAGGCCTATTGAACCCGAATGCCCAAACACAGGATTTTATGTAGTTGTTCGAATGCGTGGTACAGCTCGTCGGGTTTTACGTTCACCTGAGATCACTCTTATTTGTCCACGTGCTTCGCAGCCACAAAACGGGGTTGCAAACTTTCATTCAAACAATGTCCAACATAATCCGACTGAGATCGGCTGCGGCGACTCAACCGGTCAAGGAGGATGCCCTCTTTCTCTTAACACACTTGGATCCTTAGTTGGCGGTGGCGTTTCGGTTCTTATTGACTTCACGTGCAATATTCAGTATTCACATTTCCTGACTCGTGATTCTAATACGCTTCAAATTTTACTCCAACGTCGTAAAAAGTACAAAAGCAAAGCTGTGAATTTAGGATACAAGACATTAGCCTACTGCAATGTCAGCCTTGCCCAAGTGAGTTTTCAAAGCGTTTTTGAATTTGGTTTTTATAACTTCTGCTGTCAGTTACAGTTTGTAGCTTACTCAAGTTGACACGACTAATCTTTTAAATCGGCTTTTAAATGATCTATCTTTTATTGTAATCATTGTATCATATTCGTAAGTTTTAATAATAATGATTAGATTAGAGCGTATAAAACTCGTCAGGTGTTTGTTTCGAATGAGTTGAAAGCCTCATTAGTCTTGAGATATTTACTAGAAAATAACGCATTAAGCTAGTACTTAAATACGTTATAAACTCATATAAGTAAGGCCATTCGGTTCCCTGATGCCTTTTAATTGAAATCATCATAATAGAAAGACTACCAAATACTACACCTATTACTATCTACACTCTTGGTTCAGAAGTTAAAGCACTTGACTTTCTGCTACTTGGTTATATCTTTGAACCTCATATCGTTTAATTCGTTTAAAGAAGCTATGTAGTATCATGAGGTCTTGTAAAATTTATTATTTATTTGAACACAGAAATATTGGTATAAAGGGGCACCGAATACATATGCGCCACACAAGTAACTTGATTTGTGTGTCCAGACCGGAGCAGAAAGTTTTCTCAGGGGTCACACTCGGGGCCTTCGACCTTAAGGTTCGGTCCACAAGGCAGTGAGGCATGGTAAGAAGATGCAGTCCCATGGTAGCCGTTCACCAATAATTGATTCATACACCATTTATTCCCTCAGGATACTGGAGCCTATATGCCCCATTTGTTTGGAATCAGGGTTTTCAAACTCCGATAGATGGACTTTCGGTGTCCACCAACCTGGTTAAAGCGCCGGACATTCGCTTTCCGTCCTCTCAATTTCGTAAACAACACCCCCGCCACGAGAAGGCAGTTAGTAGGACTTCCCTGATAGTGGTTGTATACGCATGACCATGCCAGAGCATTTGGAGAGAGCAGACGTTCTCCACTCTCGACCGTACCAGGGCATTTAGGGGCAGTTCTTGTACAAAGTGTACCTTAAAACCAAGTTCACAAAACTTCATTTATTACGCGAGTTATGATCATAATTTTTTTAAATCGGACAGCTGATTATGCCAACTCATACAATCACAATAGTATACTTTTGAGGGTATAGTGAAATACTGCTTGACTTGTGATTATTCCTTGTCAGCCGATAAAAGCATAAATGTAGAACTTCCTTCTTCCCTAAGCTTGCATATAACTTCGTATGAAATGGTCCCGTTACTTCATTGTTTATAGTTTGCCTTACATTAGACAGATGTCACATTTAATGTCGCCCCTTACATAGTAACTACTATTGTTTTTGCTGTATTTTTTCATTGAATGAATCTTTTTCCAGGTATTATTAACTGTTTTTGCACCAATATGGGAACAATAGCAAACGCATGTAGTCATATATTTCCTTTCATCATTTTATGCATTCTTACTAAAATAAATATGTGAATATATATATAAATGCATGCATATTTGACTGTAATTAGTATAGATCTTCCATTGTTAATACAGTCAATAATAATTTATCATTTTAGGATTGGTTTTGTAACTTTTCTGACGCATATTTACGTAGTTATTAAGTTTATTTAATTGCTTCTTTTTCAATGCTATCATTAAGACGAAATACTAATCCACTAATTTTATTATTTAAGGTGAACAATGCCTACTTTCATCCATGAGTATACATAAATATACTAAAGGCTCTCTTTCTCTCTCTCTCTCTCTCTATATATATATATATATATATATATATATATATAAATTATAGAAGGGGTTTTGTGGAGATTTAGTATTTATTATAGTTGAAAGCGTGAGTCAATTGAAGCTAGACCAGGACCTACGAATCTCGCGAGAGCGGGTTCGTGGATGCGCACTGCTGAGGAGTCCCATAATAGAACGAAACGGCCGTCCAGTGTTTCCAGGCTTTCCATGGTGGTCTAGCTTCAATTGACTCCCGCTTTCAACTATTATATATATATATATAAGTGATGTATAGTTTGTCATAAAATCTTGATTTTTTATATATTCCAAGATGCCCAACAAACGCTGATTGGCTGCTTTCACCTTATAAAGTATTTCCATAAAATAAGGGGATTTCTAATAGTTTTAAAAGCATTATAGTAAAGTTTAAAATAACATTGAACATTACATTTCGTTTTAGTGGTCAAATTTTATCATTCCTCCTTTGTATTGTCAATATCCTGGGTTCGATGGTATATAGCAATCAAAAGAAAATGGGATTATTTCTGAATAAGAACCGTCTGTCAATGAATCGATTACTATGAATTTGTGGGTATTACATGAAAATCCTAATCATTTTTACATATTCAATCTCCTCTGTTTATTGCCCCAGAAACATAAATGTCTACTGGTTTATGATGTTCCTATCGTAATACACATTTATTGGTAATCAGACCAGATTGATGTATTTTATGCAGGAAACAAATATATACTTAGAACTTTTTGGGTCAACAAGTAGTAATAAACAGAGATATGTTGTTATGTAAGCGGTAAAAAGTAAAACCATAAGCATCCAGTGGTTGTAATTAAAGATACACACCTAGTGTTCTCAGGGGTCAAAAATACGCCTTGAGTGAAGCGAATAATCCTACGTAAATGTGAATCATATCTATTAGCATATACAAACATAGTTTAGACAGTTGGAGGGCAACACTAGCCCTCACATAAACAGCGCAGTTCAAAGCCGGCTATAGAAATTTATGTTTGTGCAAATAAGTAAAGTTGATATATGTCGATAGTCCACTTGTCTGGTGACTGACGTTCAAAATCTATGCTTACGACAATATTCCACTGACTTCAAATACAAACTACTTTCTATTTTAATTTTAACATACACTTCGTTGAGCAAACCTAAAATGTTCAGCGCACTACTTTTGTTAACATTCATTATTTTGAATAACTTTTATTTATTAAGTGTATTAATGAGTCTGCGCATTCAGTGTTTGCTATTATATTTTCAAATAAGAAATAAGCTATATCTTAAAACATAAAAGAATGGTAAGGACGTGGATAATGCGTATATGCACTTACGTGCATTTTGATGTGTAAATTACTCTATTTATTCTTCCTTCTTAAATATTAGTGTTATTCTAATGATTCGATCATATAAAATGAGACAATTGCTTGGCTTATGCATACCCATTTTCTTTTTGCTAAATAAACTTATTAATTACGTCCATGTCACCTATCCTCAACTTAATGAAAAATCCTACTGATTAGTAATCCTAGCTCATTTTTATTCAGCTGTCTACTAATAACTTTGTTAATAATGTAATACTGGCAGGTACACTTTGATAATGAGTACTGCTTAATTATAGCTTTCTTCAATAATTTCGTTGAAAATAAATAATACAACCCTGTTACCAAACGCAGATATATTTATTTAACGTTGAGCAATATTTTTTGTTTAAGGTAATACTTCTTAGTCGGTCAAACTGAACCAGGTAAAGTCGATATTAAATCTGTGTAGGGCTATTGTTAGAAATTCTAACACTGACCAACAACCCACCACTCCACAAATAGGGTCACCTCAAGTGTTTACTCATTATGTGGTAGGAATCTATCATTACTATTGTTATTGTAATACACATTTGTAAGTATTTTTACTTTCTACTGTTTATCTTTATATTCCTTGTGTCATCTTTCTTCTATCGCTGGTGACTTTTCACTATATCCTTCTTTTACTACTAACCAGTATATATATATATATTTGCAGCAAAGTGTAATAGTTTGCTAAAAATGTACCATAGTTTTGTAAATCTTCTCTCTTAATCTAAATACTTATTGATTTTTTTTGAGTAATATATATCATGGAAGTTGTCTTAAAAGTTTCTTGAAAAGAAGGATTTCTGTGTTGCTATATATTTCCTTCTTCTTTTTTTGAAAAAAATAGGTTTTACAACGCCGTATCGAAAATCGATTTTTAGATTTATATACCGATCCAAAGTGTTCCACTCATCCAATTGGTAGAATCGAAGTTTTATACTTATCAAGTTTACCTATTGAAAAAGATTTATTAAACGGAAAGCGTAAAGGTTAGTAGGGTTTTTAATTATTATTATTATCATTATTATTATTATTAGTATTAGTATTAGTATCATTGGTATAAGCATTAGTATTAAGATCTATATTCTGCAATTGATTTTTCTAAATAAGAAAGTATCTCTTATCCCTGCCATATCATTATTTCCTCTTTATTCTTTGTATTTCTAACTCATTTTGCTTTTCATCTCCCAATGTTTTTTTACCCTTCATTAAACATATATTTTAATGATTTTCATTTTTGCTTCCCCGTTTTTTGTAGCGTTACTAATATCTTAGATTAACAATTCGACAACTGAATTTGTATGCATCTTCGTGAATGTTTGTGCTGAGTTAGTTAGGTCCTTGAAGAAATCTGTAGTCCATTTCATTCATTATACTAGGATATTTTATGTATGGTGTGTTACATTGTAATCACCCTATTTGGAGCTTGACACTTGAAAAATAGCACCTTAGTTAGACTTAACTTTGTTTTCATTAAATAACCTGCTAAGTTTATTGCTAATCGATTTCAAAGTCACCGTATAGAAATTCCCACAAGTGATATGTTTTTCTTTTAAATAATTATATCATAATTGCTCAATAAGAAAGCTCATGTTCTACATTTTAATATTGACATCCTTTTTTATTGTGAGATTTACTGTTTGTTTTAATGAATGGAATACCTAGAAAAATTGGTTCACTATTTCGATCACAACAATAAGCTTTATTATTTGGAATAAATAAGATTCATAAATGCAAAAATTGTTTCCTTTTCTAAATCATTTCCAAATAGCATCAAGCAATTTCAATACACGTTGAGATTTAGGTTCCAATTTAAATACTGTTGTTTGTTCGTTATATTACTAGAGTTTTAAACTTTTATACCTTTAAAACAATGAAAAAACCATTTGCGTTATTGAATAAAATGGATCTGGTTCAAGAGGGAAAATTTCCTTTCCTGTGATGTCATTAACTTGACATGTACAATCGTAATTATAGTTAATTTTTAACCATATGTGGCTATAATAAAGTAAAGTGATGATTCAATTGAGTATTAAAAATGAACATTTTTCAAGTATAGAGTATAAATCGCTCAGTAGTCTTGAAAGTGATAAGTGGTAAAATTTTTTATAGAAGAGTGGGTAAGTATTATTATCCACTTAATGAATATTTGCTACTGAATCGTCTTCATCCTATTTTATTGTTTAGTATCACATTAGAATGTATATACGATCTTTCGTAAGGTCTGTACTAATTGATTGAACAGCTATGTCATAAATTTACATATATTCCTTTCAACTGTTAACCTTATCTAATAGGTATGTTTTATTGCCGAACTAAACAAAGTCTTGTTTATCTCATGTCTAGTACCATAGAATGAGGAATTACTCGTAGGATTTTTTACACCATGTACATTTGGTTTTTCCCATACTCTTCACTCCTTTCTTTGACGTCATCATTTCACCTATACACATTAAGAACCTTATTCGTTACTTCCTATATATCATATTACCAATCAGTCTTTTTTTTCGAAAAAGAAAGACTTAAACTAAACTAATCCAGCCTTTTTGGATCTGGAATGTTTACATATTATCAGTGAATTATTGTATGCACTAATATTTGGAATATTATTTGCTTACATCAATTAAGTGACAGTTTTTAAATATTGGTTCAAAAAGGTGTCATGATATTTTAGTTAACAATTTTGGGGGATAAAAAATAATTAATAGTTAAATGAAGATCTTTGTCTTTACCGTAGTTTTGCTTATAAATAAAAATATATCCATTTCTATTCCTTCGAATGAAATGCTTCTTATGTAGAAGCGATAATTTTAAGAGAAATAATGCTCATCAAAGTTTATTTAACTCAACTGATTGAATATTTTACTAAATCATATGTAGTAGTATGCTCTATTGATGTTGGTGATCGAAATATACTAGATACCCAATACACGACTTTCTTACAGCAGATTTTTTTGCAACGGTCCGATATAATTCTTCTTTTGCCAATTCCATTATTCTGTGCTTAATTGCCAAGTGGGTGTAAAACACTCAGAGTCTTTAATACGAAGACAGGTTTGATGAATAAAAATTTTTCAATGTGGTGGTCTATCAGCGAAGTCTTGAAAATACTAACGTCCCGGACCGTTTTTGTTACTTCACCTTAGTTGATCAATCCTCAAGAAATTTTCTTAATATGGTTATGGAAAAGAATAAGATCTAACAGTCAGATCTTGATTCATTGGAGAGTGAGTGACCTACAAACGTATCTTCTAATAACTTATTTCATTTAGTCATGTTTATTTTTTTGGTTATTAAGTTGTACATAAGCATGTCACAGCTTCCCAGCGCTCCATTATTTTCTGTTTTTCTCCAGCTAAAGTCTATGCATGGTGAGAATTATTTCAAAGTTAATGTCTAGTACCTTATTTTACACAACAGTTGTTATACTATTTTTACCATATAGGTCAACTGCAAAGGAAAGCAAAATTTTCTACTTGTAGATTTATGCTTGGAAATGATTTTGAATTCGCTTGCTGACCTTATACTGTAATAAAAGCTTTTCACAAACCACGTAAATAAATATTATTCTCAATCAGATGCCCCTTAATATATATGAAAACAGAGCTTTAATTTTATTACTAAATAAATTGATCGAGTTTTCTTCTGGTTATGTTAATTTTTACTGACATTTCTATTTATAGTTGTCGATGAAGATGAAGATTATCCTATACCAGATGTTTATAGTGAACAAGACGATTCAGATCATGTTGAAGAAAGTGATGATGACCAGATAGCTGAATGTGAAATAGTTGGACATAGTCGTCAAAAAAAGCTTGTTAAAGCTATGTCTGTTGGTGTAAGTACCTATTTGTATATATGTAAATTATACTTGTAATTATTTATCTGTTTACTGTTTTATTACAGTGTGCAATTCAAATAATTGTTTCTAGTATTTGAGTTCAGGTTATTGTATAAAATTGTGACCAAATCACATTCTGTTCTTTTTGTTGTTAGCTGTTGAGTTCGGACTTAATTTATGTAACTAAATTTTAGCATCTGAATTGTTTTACGTATATTCAGTCAGCCATAAAAAGATATACAATCAAATACAAATATTAATTAACTAAATTTTTCACAACTCACTTTAGCACTGAAAATTAAACCATACAATATAAAAGTGAGCACTAGTAATGATTAAGCATTAAGAACATAGTTAAGATCGAACTAGGGAGTAGTACAAAATAGCTTCACATTGTGAGAATAATGAAGAATAAATCTATTTGCAACATTGTAATCTATATCTATATGGTGCTATTTAAACCGCATTTTAAAGCCATCTCGTGGATATTAACGTGATTTTCTGTCTCTCCTGACACTACTCAAAACACTAATAATTGACTTCATAAACTTTATAAACTTTATTTGACTAAGAAACGTGAACAGCCAGTATTGTGTATCTTATTGTATGTTTTCCTAACCTTGTCAATTGTTTTAATATATAATTGTTAGTAAGGCTGATAATGTATTCTTGATGTGAGTTGGTTCAACGCAGGAGAGATTAATCATGTTGTCTGGGTATCTGGTATTAATTTGGGGAAATCGTATGCATTTTGGAATTTTCTCCATTCGTTCTACATAAACTAGCGTAATATCAGCCTTCTACGGAAAACTAAGCATCACGTATGTTGATCCAACCGCTTTTAATATTCAATTTACGTCCACATTATCCGAGACATTATCTGTGTGTTGGGAACAGGTCATGGGTAATGCACCCGACAATCAACAAAGTCGACGAAGGTTCATAACCTCACCATTTCTGATACTCATTTACATAATATTGGTCAAAATGTCTTTTACGATCACCACTTAGTTGGTAAGTCGTATCTCAGCAGCATCACATTCATAGCTTACAGAATTCACATAGAGAATAAATAAATCTTCAGAACATTACACTGTGATAATTTATAAGTAAATCTTAATTGGTTCCATAAAAAAATCTGTAAATTCACTTGAAAGCATTACAAACGTTTTTTTTGTTTCTAGTGTATACGGCAATTTATTCATTATCAAATCATTTTTGACTATCTTTTGCATACGAAACATTTGTAGTGTATCGGTAAAAAAGAAATTCAAATATCCGCTTTTTTCTCACTTTACATTTTTTCCCCTTAAAAGTGTGTAAATGTAAGTGAAATCTTAACTATATATATATATATATATATATATATATATATATATATATATATATATATATATAATACTTATCTAATATTTAACTGTTTACTATTGTATATTTTTATGATAAAGTTAACTAAAATGAAGACTATATACATGTGTGTTCTTGTGTACTAACAGAACTAGTATAATAACTCCTTACTTTCCATTAATGTGCTTATCGGCTATGATTCATTAGTTTAAACACTTAGTTTCTGAATTAAAGGGATACAATCTTAAATTTTATTCCATCTAGTAAAATTCTATTATACAAATTCATATTGTTTTATGGTTCATATATAAGATTTATATAAGAACTTTCGTCTAAATTAAAGCGAATACTTTCACAGTATTTATTCACAGTATATATTGTGAATGAAATTTCTCCTCTCACCTCTTACGTTTTCTATACAATATATTATATTAACACTTATCATTTCACATCACAAAATCTCTTACACACTAATACATATACCTAGTTTAGACTTTGTTAACGTTGATTGGATGATCTATTCAGTGTAGAATGAGACGAAGAACCATGTACCTATTTATATTCGATAATTTTGATGTTTGATTATAATTCCTTGAAAAAGCTTGGACCAGATTGCCAGGCGAAACGTTGGATTTACTACAAATTCATTCGCTGGGATTTTTATTTATTTATATTTATTTAAGCACATACATATTGATACAAAAGGGCACCAGGTACATATGCGCCACACAAAATAATGAAAATAGGAAGAGAAAGGATGAAAAGATAAGGGGGACTGAAATGTGCAACCGGAAAACTCTTTCAGCTAAGAAAGTCAGAACCACTTTATGTAGAAAGTAAAAGAAGGTTACAGCAGGTTCGCCACTGGCTTCTATTCTGAGCCATATCTGATAACGTCTCTAGCCACTGTGTTGCACCATCTCTCGGACCCCAGCCACGGAGTCGTGACGGACCAACAGAAGCTAGCCCTTTGCAGCTTTCTTTCATGCCACGACACCATGTCATACACTGACCTCCTCTCCGCTTTTTCCAACCAGTCCCAGAGTCGGCAAATAATGCACGACGTGGAAGTCTCTGGGATGACATTCGTAAAACATGTCCAAGCCACCGAAGTCGGTGTTTCAAGATGGTGACACCAATTGAATTATCGTCTCTGCACCCGAACACACGATGCCAAACCTCTGGATTACTAACATGGTGTTGCCACTGTATGTCAGCAATCGTTCGGAGACAACGATGAGATTTTACAAATATATTATTCCTAATTAATGTCATATATAATATTGTTGTAAACATTACTTTGGAATGTACATTGACAGAAAAGAAAGTTATAAATTATCTATGTTCAAATCAATGTTTTTCGCTGTCATATTACTAAGGGGTTTTAAATTTTTTCTGTAAGGTATTCTAGCTAAAAAGATGTTCACTACTCTTTATAGTTAAAACGATTACCTATGAATGATGATCATACTTACATACTTACTTACGCCTGTTACTCCCATTGGAGCATAGGCCGACCAGCTTTCTCCAACCCACTCTGTCCTGGGCCTTCTTTTCTAGTTCTATCCAGTTCTTGTTCATTCTTCTCATGTCTGTCTCTATTTCTCGGCGTAATGTGTTCTTTGGTCTTCCTCTTCTCCTTTGACCTGGATTCCATGTGAGGGCTTGTCTTGTGACACAATTGGGTGATTTCCTCAAAGTGTGCCCAATCCACTTCCAGCGCTTCCTCCTGATTTCTTCCTCCGCTGGAATCTGGTTTGTTGTCTCCCACAGTAACTTGTTGCTGATAGTGTCTGGCCAACGGATTCGAAGTATCTTGCGCAGACAGCTGTTAATAAACACTTGTATCTTCTGGATAATGGCTTTCGTAGTTCTCCACGTCTCCACCCCATACAGAAGAACTGTCTTGACATTTGTATTGAAAATTCTAACCTTGGTGTTGGTTGACAATTGTTTTGAGCTCCAGATGTTTTTGAGTGGTAGGTATGCTGCTCTTGCTTTGCCGATCCTTGCCCTCACATCTGCATCTGATCCACCGTGTTCATCAATGATGCTGCCCAGATATGTAAAGGTTTCCACATCTTCCAAAGCTTCTCCGTCAAGTGTGATTTGATTGGTGCATATTGTATTGTATCGGAGAGTCTTGCTTTTCCCTTTGTTTATATTGAGACCAACTGCTGCTGAGGCTGCTGCTACACTGGTCGTTTTCTCCTGCATTTGTTGTTGTGTTTGTGATAGAAGAGCCAGATCATCTGCGAAGTCTAGATCGTCCAGCTGCATCCTGCCTGTCCACTGTATCCCGCGCATTCCTCCAGTTGTTGACGTCTTCATGATCCAGTCGATCACCATGAGAAAAAGAAAGGGTGAGAGTAAGCAACCTTGTCTAACACCAGTCTTTACCTCGAATGAGTCGGTGAGTTGTCCTCTGTGGACGATTTGGCAGTTTAGTCCATCATAGGAGTTCCGTATGATATTGACTATCTTCTCAGGCACGCCGTAGTGTCGAAGAAGCCTCCATAGTGTTGTCCTGTCCACGCTATCAAATGCCTTCTCGTAGTCAATGAAGTAGATGTACAGTGATGAATTCCATTCGATTGATTGTTCCACAATGATACGTAGAGTTGCGATTTGGTCTGTACACGATCTATCTTTACGAAATCCAGCTTGTTGATCTCGAAGTTGAGCGTCCACGGAATCCTTCATCCTGTTTAACAATACTCTGTTGAAGACTTTTCCTGGTATTGAGAGGAGAGTGATGCCTCTGTAGTTGTCGCACTTGCTGAGATCGCCTTTCTTTTGTATCTTGATCAGAAGTCCTTTTTTCCAGTCTTTTGGTACTTGCTCTTCGTCCCACATTTTATTGAAGAGGATGTAGATTGTCTTTGAAGTTACTGCTACATTTTATTTCAGTGCCTCTGCCGGGGTGTTGTCTGGTCCCGCTGCTTTGCCGCTCTTGATTTGTCTAATGGCCATGCTGATCTTCTCAATTGTTGGTGGGCCAACATTGTTTGGGAGGTCTGTGGTTGCTGCTTCGATGTTGGGTGGGTTCAGTGGAGCTGGTCGATTCAAGAGTTCTTTGAAGTGTTCTACTCACCTGTTTCTTTGTTCTTCAATGTCTTCCTTGCTCTTCACTGGTCGTTCTGGCTTACGGTAATTTCTAGCAAGTTTCTTGGTTGTATCATACAGTTGTCTCATGTTTCCCTCTCTCGCAGCCTTTTCCGCTGTCATTGCTAAATCTTCCACATATTTACCTTTGTCGGTTCTTTTGCTCCTCTTCACTTGCTTGTTTGCCTCTGTGTATTCGGCTTTTGCCTTGGCTTTTTCCTCTCTGGTTCGGCTGATATCGATTGCTGCCTTCTTGTTCCTCCTTTCTTCAATTTTATCCAGTGTACCAACAGTGATCCATTCCTTGTGATGGTGCTTCTTTTGGCCCAGAACCTCCTGACATGTTGAAACGATTGCCTCCTTGATACCTTTCCAGTTGCTCTCCATGGTCGTTCCCTCTCCATTGAGTAGATCATGAAAGGCTTCGAACCTGTTGCTGAGGACTATGTTGAATTTGTTGATGCAGATATGGTCGTTTTGGTTTTGTGTAGTGTGATCCGATAAAATCCAAGTGGCTTTGTTTATGTTTTTGTGTGGGAATATGGTGCCACCTATGACCAGTTTATGGAAGGCACATAGGTTTGCAAATCTCTCACCATTTTCGTTCTTTTCTCCCAGTCTATGTCGTCCCATGACGTCTTCGTATCCAGTGTTGTCTTTTCCAACCTTGGCATTGAAGTCTCCCATCAGAATGGTCAGGTCCTTGGTTGGGCACTTCTCGAAGATCGACTGCAGCCTATTGTAGAATTGGTCTTTAGTGTCTTCATCGTAGTCAATGGTAGGCGCATAGCATTGGATGACGTTCATTTTAATGCCCTCTCTCTTTGTTTTGAAAAAGGCTTTGATGATCCTTGGTCCATGAGATTTCCATCCAATAATTGCATTTTGTGCTTTTCTGGACAGCATCAATGCAACTCCTTGTGTATGTGGGGCATTTTCTTCTTCATGACCGGAGTATAACAGAAGTTCCCCTGAAGATAGTCGTTGTTGTCCAACCTGCGCCCAATGTGTTTCACTGATTCCAAGCACTTCCAGGTTGTATTTTCTCATTTCTGCAGCAATTTGGAAGACTCTTCCGGTCTCCCACATTGTCCGAACATTCCATGTGCCTATAAAAAATTGTCGCTCTGGTTGTAAGAAAATGCATCGGCCTTATGACTTTCGAAGGAACTCGGCTTTCATCATGAGACGTCATAATTATTCCTTCTACTCCCAGGGCAGAGTTTGAATGGTTTGAGTGATTTTTTCTGGTTAGCGTTTTTTTTAGCGAGTTGATTTTCTACGGGATGGTGTCGCTAACCCCATGCCCAACCCTCCTCCTTTACCTGGGCTTGGGACCGGCAGTAACCTCCAGAGGAGCTACAAGCGGAGTTAATGATGATCATATCTAAATTGAATTATTCTTAAAATTACACTTATGACTACTCTTACAATTTTCCCTATATATATATATATATATATATATATATATATATATATATATATATATATATATATGATTTTATTGAGAATTATGCTATGGTCACATCTCCAAACTGTGTTCGTTTTATTTGTTTTGATTTTTTATCTAATATGTCAAAATTTTCATTTTAAACGTTAACCTTATTGATGATTGTGCTATTGTTTAATTAAATTTTTATCTCACAAAATATTAGACAGCTCCTTCGAGAACATACGCTTATTTCCATAGTTTAACATAATTAACGTTGTAGTAGTCTATGGCGTTAACATTTATGAAAATCTATTTTTCATTTAAGTGATTTATGATGATTGATATAGCCCTATTATAGTTTTTTTGATGCAAGTCGACCATTATACAACTGTTTCGTCTTAGTCACTGATTAAATAGCAGAGAAAATTCATTTTAGATTGAATCGAACCCCATGATAAGTTATTACTAAACCATTAAATCGAGCATTCACATGTTCATATTTTTGTTTTTACATTTCCACGAACAGATGTGGATCTGCCAGTTAACAAAATTATAAATAGTAGATATTGAGTAAAGCTGTTTATGTTAAACAGAAGTTTATATTTACTACTCATAAACGTATACCTATGAGAAGTTTTAAGAAAAACACATTACATCTACCTTACATCATATTTGACTCCCACGAATGGTTAAATTTAACAACTATCTGTAACGAAGTATAATTTCTATATTTACGGGTAGTTTTTAGTGTCTTTAAGGAATTCCAATTACTGATCGAAATTTGGAAATTCAGTAATGGTAAAGTTTCAAACATATGTGCTATGACTAAATTTTACATGTACACACATGGTGATTATATTAAATCTTATGAAAACATGCATCAAATATTCATTTTAAAATTTTCATCTCATCTCCTGTTTTCAATGTTTCATTGAAATTTTTCTAGCAAAAGCAAATTAAACAAAAATTAATTGGTTTATTGAAAAAATTAAAAATTAGTGATCCTAATGAGGTGAGTTACTAAATATTATGATAAGTATTGTTTTAATCTTATTTATTTAATCCATCTTTATTTGTTTATTCATTTACGAATAACCAATTACATTTTCAATAGTAACCTTTATGTATTTTATTCCGCTGTTTGATTGACCATAGATATTTTCAATATATATATATATACGCGTTTTATTTATACATTCATTGAAATTATTCAACGTGAGAGCAAGAATCACATTCCATTGATTAATATTCTTTTAGACAGTTCTAGCTTAAAAGAAACGAATGATAATTACTTTTTCATCCGTAAGCGAGTATGTTAGTTTTAAGTTTACAAACAGCAAACGAAACAACCCTTTAGTCTCTCTATATGTGTGTATATATATATGTGTATGTATGCTTAGGAATACTGTGTATGTATATTTCCCAAGCCAGATTTTCTACCATCTATCTACGTCATTTATAATAAGTTTATTTCAGTTTAACATTTATTTTATTTAGGTTTACACAATCACTATAAAATTCTTATTTATAGTATTTGTGCACATATTTTTGAGAAAAAAATTCGCTGTAATTCATTCTCTCCTAAGTTTGTACTTCAGTTTCAGAAATTATATCTGTCTACTCGGGGCATATTGTATACACGAGAAAGTTAAACTGTGAAACAATATAACATCATATAGAGCCTCATCATTTGATTTTTTAGTAGTTATTCATGTTAATTGTATTGGAAGATTAAAAAACACTTATCGAGAATTGACATTAATTAGTGAACGACAATATTTTTAAGGAATACTGTAAACAGGGGTGGAACATTCTTTTCGGAGATGCTAGATTTTTCAAACGTGGTACAAAACTGTTCACTCTGTAGCTTAGCATTATCGATTTTTTGTGATCATACTAACATCATGATGGCACCGAATATTGTAGGTCGCTTTGAATTTCATTATACGTAGACTAACTTTGTCACATCCCTGCCATCATACAGCTGTGAAGATACATGAACATCTCTATTTTTGTGGGTTTGTAAAACAGTGTTGATATTTTTTGCTGTAGTACTTCAAATTTTCGTGATGGATTGTTTTTCTGATACTAATTTATGCAAATAGTCAACTAGGTAACTGCGAATTATTAATCTGTTTATCATCAAATAATCAGACGGTATCATCTAGGTACTTAAGGCTTAGATGTCTCTCAAAGTAACTAGTCTCCACTACTAGTTCTGTCCCATGAATATCATTGACAGTCAAGTTACAAAAGAATGTAAGGATTGTACAAATGCACCTCGTCATTCTGCTATTTTCAAACGTTGAAGTTAGGTGTTTGTATGCTATCACTTTATATAATGTGATCTAGAAGATCTTGAAGATTTTAAACTTCTGGTATACTAGTCCTCTATGATGATTATTTTAAATCACAAATTCAAACAACCGATAGTAGTCATAATGCTAAACATTATAATAATTATTCTTCTGCACTACATATGAAGGTTTTTGAGGATTCGGCTTTAGAGTGTAGCATCACGTAGTCGTGATGTTAAGAAAACTCAACTTGTTTATGCACATATCAATCGTTCACGCCTTTTGTACAGTTTTCTGAGTATGGCGGAAGTTTTCGTTTTTGATGTAAAAACACATCAACTATGGATAACTATTCAACCATAAATTTTGACTTTGTGGAATTCGTTGTGGATTGTTAAGAGAAAAATTAACACTACAGTTCTGTGTATAATTTTAATCAGAAATAATCCTGTGCGGTTGTGACAAATTGTATTGTGACACTATTAAACGAAGGAAAATTTGTGGTTGGCATCGATTGTTCTCAATAAAGTCAGTGATTCTATTATAAGTCTTTTCATTGGGAACAGATTTCTCACTAGCTTTCACTTATCTTCGAAACACCTCCCTTGTGTCGGAAAATTGTTTTGTTTTCCCTTGGTAGTCTAGTCTTTCAGTCATCTGCAACGTAGAATCTGACACATGAGACTGCTCGAGTTGCTACACCATATTAACATGGTGAAGTAAAGTTATACAGATAAATCCCAGAGTAGTAAAATTAGTAATATTAGCAGTAGTAGTAATATTCGTAGAAAATATCAGGTGACGAACAAAAAGTGTAAGGAGTTTTTGGAATTCAAAAAGAAAAGATATAGAATAAATGCACTTGATCATTGCAAACTATCCTTAGTCATGTCACTGTTGGTTACTGTAGTCGGTAAACATTTATCATTTTGCTAATAAAATTTGATAAGAATACTTAGCCGACCTTGGGATGAAGGTGTTTACAAAATATATTTTGACTTGTTTTGTTTTCACATTAGGATCTTCTTGTAATAGCAAATATTCCTGACCTTATTACTTAAAAAAAAGTCAAAATCATCTTATATTTTCTATAAATAAAATGAGAAGCACCTCGTTTTCTAACTTCACATATCTTTATATTGAATGTTCTAAAGCTAACAGAATGTTTCTGAACAATACTTTTTTTGTTTTTACCGAGTTTTCTGGTAGTATTCGTGTTATACATGATAGAATAATTTGTCCTTGACCGGAAGAAAAATAATTCTGTTATGCAAAACTTGATATAAAATCAATTTATAAAACTCTTTATATCTATTCTTATGTAATGGAGTTTAAATGAAATGACCCATTTTATAATTACTGTAATTTCTATCTGTTTAAAATTTCACCTATCATAGATTTGTGTAGTTCCTATTTAATTCATTCACTTAAATTAGTAATTCACTTTTGTCTATTATAATCTTCGCTTAATGAAATTGGATCATTTCTAATTTTTTTTGCTTACTAGTTTATATGTTAGTCTAAATAAACATAACTGAATTTTTTCGTTTATTACATTCATAGGAAAGTGACATCAATATTTTCTTATTTAGATTGTAAATAACTGTTTTAACAAATGAATACGAAATTAAACTTCCAAATATACTTTAAGTATAAACATACATAGCTAAATGGACGTTATAAGCAAAGATGGATAGTGGCTAGCAGTGGAATCCAGGACGTGCGTTTCGTCCTATTTGGGACTCGTCAGCTGGATGTACCTGTATCTCTGAGTTGATGTTCACTCTGAGACTCGTACCTAGTAACTTTCGCTTCAAACGCCATCACGTTATACACTCAGCTACTGAGTCCTGTTAGCCACTTGCTTGTGCAATGGGGTAAAGTTTAAATTCACTTAGTATTGTTTGTTTGAATCTTTTCATTGATGTTTTAAGACTGCAACTGGTCAGTCTCTAATTGGCATATGTGTATACTGTGCGTATTGCTTCGATATAGCTAGCCACTATCCATCTTTACTTACAATGCTTGTGAATTAAGGCTAAACATCAATAGGAAGATTCGAACAAATAATACTAAGTGAATTTAAATGTACGTTATTTTGTTCAGTCATGTATGAATCATTCGGTTTTTCTTAATCTAATTACATTCTCATGTTTATTTTTCTTCAGTTGTATTTACATCTCTTTCTTTTCTTTTTCTCAAAAACAACTACGACATCCAAACGTTATAGGTTGATTTAGATGTGGCTACAACATCGAAATTATGGGATGAAATTGATCGTATAGCGACAGCTAGTGATATCGAAGAAGATTCAGATGTGGAAAGTTATAATTTAGTCTCAATTCAGAGTACACCACGACCAACACTTCGACCTTTTTTCGCCACAGCCGGTAGCTCTGATGATACATTGAGTGCTGTAAGTTAAAACTAAAGTTTTTCGTTGTTTTGAATTTATATAAACCATATCAATTTATTTATGGTTTTTTTAATGGTTTCTTTTGTAAATTTGACATCGAATGGAGAATTATCAAAAATCCTTCACCTGTTTGGATATTTGTTTCGTTCTAGATTGAATTTTTCTCATTAGGGTTCGTTCACACCATTATACAGTATCAAACCTTGGATTTTGCATCTTTTAATGAGCATAATTGATTTTTTCCTCTAACAACATGGTTTTTCAACAGCAGATTTTGATAAGGAACTCTAATTTTACAAAGTAATTACTTTATGTAAAGACGTTATAAATGTGTATTGATGTGTAAATATTAAGGTTGGTGTGTTATACGTACTATGTGATCTCCAGTAAGCCTTGGAACCTACGTTACATGCTAGTTGTCACTCGTCACCAAGATATGTCTGCAGTCTTTAGGGAATCGATGCTCATTATAGATTCCAAACTCTTATCAAAGTCAGAAACAGTTATCGATTCTAACAGAACTCACCTTACTCACTCTTTTGACCGGAGGACTTCCATAATTATGCTCTTAATAAATAAAAACGAACCCAATAGTATTGTTGCCCTATGAAATATTTGACTCCCTTCTCTTCTCCTTATAGAAAGAATCTTCAACTTTTCGGGTGAGGTATTTGTAATTTTTAAATGTCACATTACACCTAAATTTATAAGGTTAAAATTGAAATACTCCATGGACTATGCTTTTAAGGAATAAATAATTTTAAATTGAGTTAAGCAGTTTCGCCGTGTATTCGGTATATTCATCACGAGATACTTTTATAAGCTCTGTATTCTATTCTCCTAGTTGGTGATGCGATCATTTAACCTAGATGACGTTAGGTATTGTAATAACATGATAGGTACTCACTATTCGACGGATGATTAGTTACCATTAGTTAGCTTCAAATTATGACGAACGTAAATAAATTCTCGAAGTAGGTAGATCAGATTTATGAAATGTTATGTATTGTTTCACTCAAGTCACATATCTCCAGTTCACGAATGCTTTCATTACTATCTTGAATTGTTTGATTTTTTACTTCGATCTACAAGGTAACAGAAAATTCTTTAAAATATGCAATATAAGTTACTATTGGAATTCATGTCTTTAATGTATTCGTTCTGTTTTGTTGCAAATTATCTTTTCCAACTAAGATCCTCTTATCCTTTTAAAATATGTCAATTCGGATCTAGGCAATATAATACAATTGGTTCTTTTCCTAAATTTTAATTAGAACGAAAACAATATGAATTGCAGAATACTTTGAGTTCATTGTATTCTGCTATGACTGTCGTTCTTAACTTATTTAAAAGTCTATTATCACATAAATAGTCTTCTCTGTCGTTTATATGTTGAGTGTCTCTTACTCCAAATCATATCGTTAATAGAATAATATTGAAGGCTGTGTATATGGTTTACATTTCCTATGTTCCACTTACTATAATCACGTGTACTAGTATAATAATAAACAATAAGTTAACTAACTACTGACAACATACTATTTACTCATTGAACTCAATTAGTTTAGGTTAAGTAAATTTTATAATTCCTAGTAATATTTTGCTGAGGAGTCTCATGCTAGGATAATATGGCTGTCCAGTGCTTCCAAGTTTTGAGCGGTGGTCTAGCTTAGATGGACTCATGAATACAAGTTTGAAAATACTTTTCTACTTGTCTGTATAGTTCATTATCTGTTCACGTGTGTATTATGTGTGATCACCATATTCTGTTTCATTTTGCCAAAGTAATTATGTTTAAAAAATTTGATTTACATGTTACATAGTTTGTATGAAATGGATATAAATGTCATCAAATTAAGGCAAAATCTTTATTTAAAAGTATTAGGTTAGTATCATTTGAAAATTTACTCACGTAACTATAATGATAATAATACCACTACTATTAATAGCAACAACAATATAAACATCTTAATGGAATTTACCATAATTTTATCATTTCATTCACTTTAAAAAATAACAATGTGGTGTACTAGTGATGTCGACAGATATAAGTAGTATGTATCATCAATCGAAGGTGGAATGCCTGGTGGCAGAATGTTAAGAAGACCGAAGAACAGAGAATAATTGCTGTGGAGATGAAGGAACCCTGAAGTCTGAGACGATTGATTGACATTTGCAAAAGGAACAGTCAAGTTTGAGACAATTGGTTGACATTTTGGAAAATAAGTATTTACTATATGGTTCTCAGATTTTACTAAGATGTTCTTTAATTTTGTGTCCAAACACATTGGATTGTTCCACACATATGTTCTCCTTCATTACAACAACAATACACGATTGACGAATTCAAAGATTATGTCAGTATTTATTTATTATAAATTGTGCTGATATGCATTCTACTAGTCTAGGTACTTGATTCCTCACAGTTTTAATCATTACTTACTCGATTAATTTACCGTAAATAAATGTGTTTATCTTGTTGAACAATTGTATGTATGTTATGTGTGCAACTTCTACTCACATAGATTTAGTTTGTTTTAAACTATACAGTATTCACCTGCATATATATATATATATATCTTAAACTTGCATTGTAGACAGCGAAATAATTTAGCTGTCTTTGTTGCATTATTTTTAGGATGCTGGAGCGAAATTGTTGAAACGCCTACAAAGAGAGTTACTTGCTCAAAGTGAGACTGATACATCACCTGATACTGCACATCTACGGTCCATGTTAGCTTCAGTTGGTAAATCGGTAAGCTTTCAAAACCCATTCGGAAAATCTTCTGGGAAGTCTGATCTACTACCGTTAGAGAGATTTACTGCACTACCAGGTTCATCTACGACAACATTTACTGATTCAGGACCTTTGCAGTCCACTGATTCTTCACTTCTTCAACGAGGTGGTGGTCATATGATGAGTTTAGCTGGTGGCCGTTTCGCCAAACGATTCGCACATATTCGACGACGATCCAATTCAAAGCATATTTTTGGAATGCATAAACCCAGTAAATCTAACTACAACCAGGAATCTGAAACGGTTAACCAAGGTGTAGAAAGTATTAATATAGAAAGTGTAAGTAGTCGTAAATATGTTTTTATTGTTTATTTTCCTTAATTTTCGTAACTTTTTGATCTATTTACTAAACTATACGTTCTGTTTTATTTATTCATTAAGGAATCGTCGGATGATCACTCTCCAACTGATGGTGGATTAGATCCTTCTTGTTTATCTTTATCTCGTGGACAAGATATAGTTTCTGATTATTCCGCTTTACATAATTCTTCAGGAGATTTCTCTCAAGCTATAAATCCTACACTATGTTCTACTCCAGAAGCTAATCGTTCGTATATTTTAGGCGATAGATTAATTTCCGATGGAAATATTACTTATGATGAAAAACAAATTCATGAGAAGACCCCAACCAATTGTAATACAGATTTCTCATCTGGTGAAAATATATCTTTTGAAGCATCAGCGAATTCTTCTGGTGTAAGTGTTTGAAATGGTGTAGAGGTTTATCGAATTTGTATGTTTCATATAATCTGTTTGTTTTGTTTTTAGCTTTTAAAAAGTTTTTTATGAGTTAAATGTAAATCGCAAAATCCCAACTTTCTTTCAGAGAAATTTGTTTTTGATTTATTCCGTAAAGATTTGGATGTAATATGATCCTCGAATGTTTCAATTAATTTTAAAATATTTTTCATCAAAAACTGATACTATAAAGTACCGAACTGCTATAACCTATACGTTTATCTAACTTACTATTATGACATTGACCTTCATTTCGTTTTTGTAGTAACTATATCACACTCAATCACTGAGTTTTAATCGAAAATTTCATACTGTTTAACTTCGTAGAGTTTACAGAGAACATATATTTTTTGCTGATTTGATTGACCCTAGAAACCATAAACTATATTGAAAATTCATCAATATTTAGTGATTTTAATTGTTAGGCTTCAAAGGTTACCTTCACTTTGAATTTTGTAATTTTTGAGATAATATCAATTCTCTACGCATTGATTTGCATACATTGTGATCTGTTTTATACATTGTGTTAATAAATCAATTAACTGAAACCAATTATCTTTATATTAAGATATTAAGGCTTCTGTTTCTGTTAAGCAAGATTCAATTGACTAAATATGTTAATTTTTAAATGTTTTACACATCATGTTGAGTTAATGCTTCGAATTGATACATTTCATTTTCTAAGTTTTTCGGTTTAGTAAGATTATTTGTTTACAACAGGCCATATCTCTTTGCTTAAAATAAGACCTATCGTAGCCAATGGTTGGAGACTCTGGATGACATGGTTCAAAATCGATCACAATGGCGTGTATGTATACACTCTTTGTCTTCCCTTAAACCGTGAGATGAAAATTACTATATACCTTTCTTTCTACGAACTAATTCTTTCTCCCGGTATGATATCTTTACATGCAATCTTTTTTTAAATTTGCGTTACTACCATTGGAGTAACTGCTTCTATGATTTAAGTGTTCATCTTGTTGTTCTAATGAGGTGTGGCAATTCGGACTGATGTATATGTAATGTGCCTGGTCCTACGTCATAGCTGACTGACTGATTCTTCAATTTCGTCAAAAGTTGTTTTTAAATAAACCTTTTTAAGTATACATATTCATCCAAATATTAGTTTGAAGAACAAAAGGTATTTGGTATTTAAATATGACTTGTTTCTGTTAGATGTTGACTAGTATGCTTATGCTCATGTAATCCATGTAAACCATGCAGTAACAACCACGTCTCATTAATTATTTGCAATTCGTTGTACAAGGTTTCTTGAAACATTTAATCTGGCGAGTGATATTACTGGCCAATTAGAATAAAGTTAAATAGTACTCATTTTTAACGCAATACTCAATTGGCATTTACTTGAAGGACTTATTCGCAGCTTTTATATATCAAGGACTGATATCATACTATGCTAATATTAAGATATATTGTTATATATTTTCATAAGTTCAGCATTTATTTTATAACCGTCGATCAATATGAGCATAACTATTTATTCAGCTTCTATTTCAATCCAAAATATCGATCTAAATAATAACTAACTGTCAAATATGAGCATAGAAAATTTCAATTAATTCATTAAATAGGCTTTAGAAAAATGTCTCTTTCAGTTTTCTGCATATTACAGATTAATTTTTATATATATTTTAAAAAGGACTTGACAAACAAGTATGATTTTATTTATGTACTCTTTAAAGACCAACCTATGCTATATGATTGCTTTAAAGTGAATGAAACTGATGGATCTATGCTTTATTCATTAGACCAAACATTCCTTACATAATCTAAATATTTGTACAATTGCAGTTATCATTGTTTTTAAAAATCTTCAATTTAGTTATTTTATAAGCACACGACTGGATCCACAGTACTACATTTTAAAAAACTAGTCACTATCGTTAGCTTTCAAACAAATGTCTAGTACACGAAAAAATCTGTTGAAGTGTTATCATTGCTACTGATATTGAGGGGGGAGTTTGTGGCAAATGTTGAACACGCTATAGATCACGTTGTGATGTGGGCTACTTATATCCACATAAGTAGTATATGGCGGTGGTCAGGCGTAGAATGTATTTTGGCCGAAGATCGATAAGGAAAGAACAGGAACGAAGCTCAATCAGTATAAAAATGCATCAACAATGAAATCAAAGAAGATGGACTGATATTTGCAGAAGGAATGGGCAAGATTGAGACAATTGATTGTTATTTTGCAAATTAACTGTTTACTGTATGCTTATCAGATTTTAGTGAGATAGTCTGTAATTTTTGCTTAAATACATTCAATTGTCCCCACCCGTGTTCTTGTTCACTACAACGTCACTAATACCGAGCTTAGTTGGAAAACATTTTAAATGGTTTTAATTAAGGTCAGTTAATGATTGATACTATATTATTGTTACTATTAGTATTCCGATGTATTTAGGGATGAAGATCAGTGTACATATTACTTACAATTATATGTTAACTGTCATAGTAACAATGTGATCTACGTCATTGATGTAAAATAAAATAACATGTATGTAGGAATCATATTATTTTACCAATCTGATACATGCTATATAAAGTTCATTCATCAAGTTTGACAATTCAATTATTGTTGATATCATACTGGTAGTTTTACATTTTATTTGGTACTTTATCGTTCTTTTTACCTCGATAATTACCTTTAAATTCATATTGTGATGGTAGAGTAACCTTTTGACCTTGATTTTAATTATACGTTACTTTACTAGACTAGGTATGTAAGTAAATTCTAGCTTTCTATTAATTGCTTATTTTAAAGTTACAGTGTTGATGATCGATTATAATCATCATTATCATCAATCCTGATGTGTAGATATTCTTGGTAGTAGTCTTGATTGCTTTTTTTACTTCCATTATTAATATATCTGTTTATAATTGATTCGTGATGAAAATAGAAAATACTAATAATACGATAACAAGCGTTTTTTACTCTCTCTCTAATATCTCAACTTCCTTCTTTTTTCAATAAAATCTCATGTTAAAAAGATACTTGTAATCAATTTTTCATAATACAAATTGTCATTAGGTAATGGTGGTTGTAACAGTTGTATGCTTGCAAGATTGAGGTTCAAGCATTTCTGGTGAGGAAGATGCCGTTCAACTACTGAATTATCCAGTTTTACTAGTTAACATCCGTCTAACTCCATAGGTATTAGCGGAAACGTTTGCTAAATTTCTCATTATTTTCACGTTCCTTGTTTCCAAATTATGCTAACTAACCCAATTTTTTCTGCTCAAATAAAGTTGCCACAATGAATTAAGAAAACATTCACGTTATTGAATAATGTAAGCTTTTCTATACCATCAGTTACAATCGGCTTCTATTTGCAACTGCGATTCTTTATCTGTCGTAACTGGGAATATAATGTTTAATTTACTCTATCCTTGTAGTATATGTAGCTAGAAAGATTGAAAAAATTCATTTCAACAATACATGACTTTTTATAAAAATAAATTTTATTTCGTAGTTATACATATATTAAAGGACCTTCGGAAAACAAAGGTCAAAGTAATTAATTTCCTTAAGGTTAATAAAAAAAGACTTTTCTAAATCAATACTAATTTATTTAGAATAAAATCATGAATGGATCTATGTTATATCACCACCTAGTGTGGTCGTCCAGTGCTTTCAGGTTTTCAATGTCGGTCTTACATTGATCCATTCGTGATATCAATGTAAACTCAATAATCTCCACAACCTTATACTAATTTATTTCGACTGACAAAAATACATAGATCGATCATAAAAGTCGTCAAAAGATAAAATCTTAATATTAAATCACAACATTTAAATAACTTGATATTATAATTTATACGATCAATATACACTGGGAAGAAGTAAATAAGAGGAAAAGTAAGGAAGAGTTTTTATAATTTTAGATTCTTTGGAAATGAAACTTTAACTTTTTATCACTTCATATTCCTTTCTTATTCTTGTAAATATCGATTGGTTATTCAAATACATATCTATCCAAAATTTTCTCTGCATGGATGTGAAAATTAGCCATCTTGCTAAGTATGAATTTAGGTTTAGGAAAATTATTATTAGGACCTAATTTTCGTACATAACGACTATTTTAACGGAAGTATTCGAACAAGAGTGAGTTATATAGTTACTTGTATTAATTATTCTAAAACTATTTATGATCATTATTAGAATGGTGTTTGTGGAGATTGTAGTAGTTTTAATAGTTGAATTGATGAGTCAATGTAAGCTAGACCACCATTAAAAACCTGATGATCTAGCTTACATCGACTCATGAATTCAACTATTGAAATATATTTATGATCAATCTGAAAATATTGTTTTTCTCGTAATGATAAAATACAATTAAGACACTGTTGGGATGACCCTGCACTTTTCTCGCAAGCGACATGACAAGCTCAGGAGTCATCAAGGAGTATTTCAACCAATCAGCGATTAATTAGAAGTTATGTGAAGTTATGTTACTAAAATAACGAAAATGGAAAAGTCACATGTGAAGATCCTGATTGGCTGATTAATACACTGCTACATGTTTAGCAGTATTCTAGAACTTTCAGTAAAACTCAAGGTCTCTTAAATTACTATAAAATTCCTATATTTTCTGTACATAAATGAACCCTGTAGTAAAGTGCTTCCCACACACTTTGTGCCTTTTCTCTAGTCTTCAAGTCGCGGAGTAGTTCTAGCTCGGGGTTATGGAACTAGTTTAGGGAAGCGAATATAGCGTTCAACCTACGAGACGTAACACACACAATAACATTCTTTGGTTTTGTAGAACGTATTTGTTGGCATGTTATCCATTGACTTGAGAAGAAAACACGAATGATGAATACCAAAAAAAGATAACATTAGCTTTGATTGAATACCTTAGATGATATCTCGAAATCAGTTTCACTGGTACAGATGTATTCATTTTTTATCTTTTCGTAAATTCGAGATTTTGACATTTTTTTATACGTTTTAATCAATCTTACTAAAACCTTATTTTCTTGAAAAAGCTTACAGTATAGTTCATTTCCTTTTTAATTTATACTCATTAAATTTCCCTTGTACTGATGTGTGATGTGGTAGTTTGAATTGCTGCATATTTTTTCCCCATTTCTACAGCTTTATAACCATCTGATTAACTTAGTCATTTATTTTGGAACTCGATAGTAGCAATTGAATAAATAATTTCATATAGAGAAATCGTAAAATGTCAACCGAAGTGTAAGTTGTACCCAGGAAATACTTATCTCAGATTATTGTTATGGTGAACTGTGTCAGATTTTTTAGTATCTTATCTTTTCAAAAACACTAATAAAGTGTAATTTAACGGAGAACTAAGTTATTGTCTAATGTACAACGAGTTATGATAAGAAGATTGATAATATGATAAGAATTTCCAATACATGACTTTGAAGGAGAGTACACATGTTTGTCGTCTGACAAGTCATTTAGTCACAAGATGGTTATTAAATAAAAAAACCCTTGAGCTTATATGAAGTTCTTTCCTTTTGAATGATTTCCTTGTTCAGAAGTTTTTTTTGAGTATTTCACACTTCTGCTTTGCGTAATAGCTTCAAAAACTGTCTGTTGTTATGGGATTCAATAAACACTACATAAGAAATTTGATTAGTAGGTATTTTAACGAACTATGATTTTTAGCCTTTCTAATATATACTATACAATATTAGTAGTGTGTTGAAACGAGTTGTTTAGTGGTGAAAATACCAATCAATTAAGTATTTACAAATTAATAAACTGAAATTAATAGATGAATGATGAGACTGGTAAATGTATAACCTTATAAGTAGTCATTTGAGTTACCGTGTTACAAATCTGTAAAGGAAAATTATTCACAATTTTTCGATGAGTTTTCGTTGAATTTTTCTTCTCATCTGATATTCTTGTTGCCCTTTTTAGACTTCTGCGGAAATCGATCCATCAAATTTAGAAAAACTAGCAAATGTCACATTTATTGTTGGTAGTTTCGAAAAATCTGGAAAAGTAAGATCATTTGATGTTATATTTTTAACTCTTTGCTTTGTTGTCTTTCCATTACTTTCTAAATCATAGTTATTTTCTAATGAAGCTGACATCTTTGTAGTTCTACACAATGCTAAAAGTATTCCTCATTGGTTTGAATAACATGATGTATGCTTTATCTTGTCAAAATAATAGACTCCTTCATCCATATACTTTTCTTCGTTGAGCGTGATACGAGCTTAGGTAATAAATTTGATACTTGTTTATAACCTAGCCTGTAGAAATCGGAGTACGTCTCTGTGATGGCTTAATAGTTAAAGTATTCATCTGTCGAAATTAAGTTGTCGCTTTAAACTCGAATTCCCGACCGTTGCTGCTACCTTGACGCGGTGGTCGAGCTTGCCTATCGTGATGAAGCAATCGAGCTATACTGGCTGGAACAATCGTTCCTCAAGGTCCTACCATGCCAGGCAGGTCGGTTGAAGAGCGGTGAGACTAAAAGCAGCAAACCCAAGGTCCGAAGGCGAAGTCGTACTGTTGACTGTACAGAAGTGTGACAGCAGTAAGGTGTTTCCTTCAGACAACCAGCATGACAGCGATGCTGCCTTCCCACAAGGAGGGGTGGGGTTAGGAAAAGTCGACCCTAAAAATGCACACCTCGCTTTATCCCACGGATATCCGTCTCCGGTGGTAAGGTTTTTTTTGAAGAACGGAGCTAACACAAAAACTACCCACAAAAAGGTCGTGTGTGACCGACCTCAAGCAGTTGTCCCTTGGGCACTGCGGTCACGCTCTCAGGTCATTAAGACCACTTCTAACCCAATTTCCTTTTCAGGTACCTCTAGAAGAACCCTTCCACGGTGTGGGCAACCGGGAAGTGATAACTGCCCTCATACCTCTAACAGCATTCAAAACCACTGTATTCATTATCAATCTCCTTCAATTCCTACTATTCCTTCTACATTGACTTTCAACACTAAACTTCCTCTCTCGATTTCCTCCTCAAGTGTCACCATGGCCAACGATTCTAGTGCGCGAAACGCTGTCCCAGGTCTACTAAAACCTCGCTCCAAACTACACATTGGAGCCTTCAACGTACGTACCCTATGCCAAATCGGTCAACAGGCCTCTTTAGCTAAAACCCTAGAATCTCGTACCATTGATGTATGCTGTGTCTCCGAAACACGCATACAGGATCCCAGTGTGGTCATTCACTTGACCTCACCTCGCCCAAATGGAGAGCCAACGAAATACACCCTCCGTGTATCTGGCGACCCGTTGGCTAGTTCTCGTGGACTTGAGGGAGTAGGCATAGCACTAAGTACAAGGGCAGAACAGGCACTACTAGAATGGATCCCCGTTAACAGTCGCCTGTGTGCTGTCCGGCTAAATGGCTCCGTAAGAACTCGGAAGGATAGGGACACACGTCATTACCTTGTCGTCGTTTCTGCCTACGCTCCCACTGACTGCAGCCATGATGAAGTGAAAGATGAATTTTACAGAAAACTCTCTGAGCTTCTTCAGAAAGCTAAGCGCTCAGACATAGTAGTCGTAGCGGGTGACTTTAATGCCCAGGTAGGCAGCTTGAATCAAACAGAAAGACATTTAGGTGGGTGTTTTAGTATTCCGGTTCAACGAACCGATAATGGTGATCGTCTGTTGCAACTATGCTCAGACAATCGTTTATTTTTAGCAAGCACTAGTTTTAAACATAAGGAGAGACATCGCCTAACATGGCGACCACCTGCACCAAACCAACGATGGACTCAAATAGACCATATTGCCAACAGCCATCGTTGGAGAGGCTCAATAGAAGATTGTCGCTCGTATTGGAATACTTGTTTAGACTCTGATCACGCTTTAATACGAGCGCGCATTTGTCTGCGCCTCAATGGACGCAGGAAAAGTACACTAAGAAGACCCATTAGGATTGAACTGGAGGACGAGAAAGCCAAATGCGAATTCCAGAAACAACTGAGTTCACATCTAGGCAGTTCTGTAAACGAGACTGACCCAGATGCTGCTTGGAAAGACATACGAAAGACATACATATAACACTGTGGAAACAGCAGTAACATCTATTAGTCATTTAAACCATAGGGCTCCAAAAAACCAATGGATTTCTTCTAAGTCTATTTCACTGATGGATTCGCGTAAATTCATCCCATCAGGCTCTGAACACGACGAAGAGCGTAAACAAATCAAATGTAGGTTGACTAAAAGTCTAAGGAACGATCGTGAGCAGTGGTGGGCAACGAAAGCAAAAGAGATGGAAAAGGCAGTGGCTGTAGGCAACACCAGGCAACTATTCAGACTAATAAAAGAAACCGGAATTAAGAAGTCAAGTGTAAGTGAGACAATCTCCGAAAAAGACGGAACCCTTATCTGCTCTCAACCCAAACGTTTAGAACGATGGGCGGGACACTTTAGGGAGCAGTTTAGCTGACCTTCAGCTACTGCACAACTACCCACTACTCCTAGAAAACCTGAATGGAACATTGAAGTAGGCCCCCCGACCCTACTTGAAGTTCAAAAAGCTATAAGTAATCTGAAACGAGGAAGAGCAGCTGGTCCAGATGGATTGGTTCCAGAGGTTTTTAAATATGGTGGCCCAATTTTAGCGACTAGGTTGACTAATATCCTGACTAAAATCTGGGAGTTGGACGTAATCCCATCCTACTGGTCACAATCACTTATCGTCCCAATATATAAGGGGTCCAAATCATCCTGCGATAACCATAGAGGGATTAGTCTGACTAACATAGCATCTAAAATACTAGCCTCAATAATTATCGGGCGCCTAACTAAGACTCGTGAACTGCAAACATGAGAAAATCAGGCTGACTTCAGACCTGATCGTGGCTGTATCGACCACATATTCACCATTCGTCAAGTTTTAGAGCACAGACACGCTTATCGGCGTCTGACAATGATAGTTTTTCTTGACTTGAAAGCAGCATTTGACTCTGTAGACCGAGAGGTTCTGTGGCAGTGTCTGTCATTGAAAGGTGTACCTCAGAAGTACATAAACCTTGTGAAGGCTCTTTACTCGAACACTACCAGTCGAGTGAGAACTTATGGCGAACTGTCATCTGATTTTACAACCTCAAGTGGTGTCCTACGAGGCTGTCCACTATCCCCATTTTTGTTTAACTTCATTATAGACCTGTTGCTGGAAATAACAATCTCTTCGACTGAATTTACAGGAATTGATCTCCTACCAGGGGGACCACTAAGCGACTTAGAATACGCAGATGACATAGTCCTGTTTTGTGAAGACGCTGGCAAAATACAGAGTTTTCTGTTGGAACTCAGTAATAATGCCAGGATGTTTGGGATGCGTTTCTCCCCATCCAAATGTAAATTGTTACTCCAGGACTGGCCTGCGTCAACACCTGAACTAAGGATAGGGAGTGAAGTAGTCGAACGCGTGGACAACTTCACTTATCTTGGAAGTCTGATCAGCCCTAATGGGTTGGTGTCTGACGAAATCTCAGCACGGATTCAAAAGGCTCGTTTGGCTTTTGCCAACTTACGTCACCTATGGCGAAGACGAGATATCCGTCTATCAATTAAAGGACGAGTATACTGCGCATCAGTTCGCTCTGTTCTACTTTACGGTTGTGAAACATGGCCATTAAGAGTAGAAGATACTCGTAGGCTACTAGTATTTGACCACAGATGCCTTAGAAATATTGCTCGCATCTGCTGGGATCACCGGGTAAGTAATAGTGAGGTTAGACACAGGGTATTAGGGAATGATGGTAAATCAGTTGATGAGGTCATGAATCTTCATCGACTGAGATGGTTGGGCCACGTGTTACGTATGCCTGAACACCGATTACCACGACGCGCTATGATGACTAGTGTTGGGGATGGTTGGAAGAGAGTTAGGGGCGGCCAAACCAAAACATGGCATCAGTGCTTGAAGTGACTAACTTCTAGTCTGAGCCATGTTGGCAGATGCAGACTACCTGGTTGGGGTCCGCGTGACTATCGTAACCAATGGTTGGAGACTTTGGGTGACATGGCTGAGAATCGATCACAATGGCGTAGGTGTATACACTCTTTATCTTCCCTTAAACCTTGAGACTAAAATTGCTTCATATCTCTCTTCCTTTCTGTACTATATCCTTATATACAACCTTTCTTGATATACTACCACCACTAAATTAATTACTTCTATGAATCCGGTGTTCGTCTTGTTGTACTAACGAGGTATGGCAACTTGGACCGATGCATATATGTGTCTGGTCCTACGTTGTAGCTGACTGACTGACTCATTTAATTCGGTTCAGGCCAACGCATGTTCGAAATCGGGGCACATAAATTTATACTTGGCCAATAATTCATAGTTTTATGTTTAAATGTAAACCGACCGACCCGTGTCGCCTCTATTTCGTGAAAGAAATTTCCTCTATTTGCTTGGGTGTTGATGAGACTGGAAAATTCAAATATCACCGGTGAAATTTATAAGAACATCTGAAAGTTATCCTGTGTTTGATGCAATTTGTAACTACATACTGAGTATAAAAGCACTAAAGTTCAGTTACCGACTTCAAGCGAAGTATATCTTGCCATATTTCCATTTAGTACACTCCTGAAATAGTACATCATCCGGAAATTTTTAATCGCCCGAAACTATCTGTCAATAATTTATGCGGTATAGTAAGAAGCAACTATATACTGCAAGTAGATAAAATGCGTACATGATCGAATTTTCTAAGTTTAATACAATTATTCCACTGTGGAAAAAATAAACAGAAACGTAAAGCGATTTGATTGTTAAGAAATAAAGTGATCATTCAGTTAACAGCTGCACCGACAAGATTCTCAACCTCAATAACTGATTCACAGTCATTTCATGAATTCTTATCATTAGCACTGATGAAAGCTCATCTTCACACGAAATTTCAGTGTTAGTTATTCAAGAAAATTCCAAGTCGAAAACTGAAGTTTTAAAATACGTTCACCGTTTTATGACTTATCAACATTCTTTTTAAAACAATGTATATAGCTATACGCTTCATAATCACTAGTGTCATTCAGACTGGTTTGTTGTTAATGCTCTTGTTTGAGAAGAAAAAAGAATTTTAGTCAGTATCACCCCGGATCTTTTTATAATATACTTCAAAACACATGATTGTTTACTCAAAATCTGAAAACGTGTTTAGACAAAAATAATATCTATCCCATTTCGTTGTAAAATATTTCACTATTCTTGTGTTTATATATGAGTGTCTACTTTGAAACCTTGATGATTTCATTCAATTTATTGATAATTTCTTCGTATTTACTGGGAAGAGCACTGATGTATGATATAGGTTTTCATATTCAGTAACTTAGTACAATTGACGTATTACACTAAATGAAAATTTACGAGACCTGTTAAAAAGTACTTGAAAATTTTAAAATCGGAATAATTTTTGTATACTTACAACCATAGACCAGTTGTTTCATCGAGAAAATCCACAGATTAACTGAATAATGTCTCCTGATATTTTCGAGAAGCAGTAGGTTGTAGCTAAACCTCTTAGATAGTAAGACGAACCTTTGTAACTGAAATAAATCTTTCATGGTACTTTTCTTGAGTGAAACTATACCATTTAGAAATTGTTAGTCTTTATTTATTCATATTTCCTTACCCTATTTTCTTCGTATTATTATCGTTTTACATTGGCATTAATTTTTAGGTCGATTGTGTCATTTGTAATGTAATGTAATCTTTAATATATAGTTCGCATAGTAGCGTACATACAGTTTACATCATGGTCAGACCTTATCAAGATAATTGTTGAAAATCAAGAATAAAGAATCAGTCGTTTCGTCCTAGTATGGGATTCCTCGACGATGCACATCCATGATCTTTAGGTCTCTCGGCAAACATTTAACGTTTGGACTACTGTGTAAGCATGATAGTATTCACGTTTCTACATTCAGTCAACTGGTAAAGATCTTGGGCTTGATTAATGGAAAGCTCGTGCATACGAATCGTTAAGGTGTCCCATACTAAGATTAAAACAGTCGCCGAATATTCCTAGACTTTCACCAGTCATGTAGTTTTAAAGTCAATTCGTGATGTGAACTACTAGTTAAACAATCTTCGCAATTGCTCTATGCTACTAATATTCATACTAATTAAGTTTTTAAAATGCTTTTTATCCATCCAATTTTGCAGATTGTATTTAGTCTATTATCTGAATTAAATCTACGTTTATTTAACGTAAATTCACTCAATGAAATGCGTACAATTTTCACACGTTTGGCCAATGAAGCACAAAGTTATACACGACGTATATCCGATGGTGATTATATTAAAATTTGTATACTTGGTGGAAATTTATTAATTAATCTTGTCTTGCGTGCTTATGTTGACCAATTAAGTTGTAGATCTACAGAATTGATAGCTGCTTTTAGATTTTTCATTATACCGATTGATGGATTAACTAAATTTATTCATAATTCATCGTCATTACAACATCAACGAAGTCGAAACAATCTAATGAAAGCTAATCAGATATCCGAAATTGGTAGTCAACAACGACAACATCATACAATGGATACATCAATTAACACTGGATGGAATCATTCTAATGTGAATGATTGTAAGTAATTCTCATTGTATTTTGCGGTTAATCGTCCATTTAAATGTTCATTTAATCATTCTTGTGGTCGTTGTCATTTTTCTAAAAATAACAACAATTTTTGCCTCTGAAAAGTATTAGAAGTTCATAATAAACTAATAATAATAATATTGTCTAGTGCTTAGATGAATCAGATTTAGGTTTACTTGCCTCCAACCACCTAACATCAAATATTGCTTTTAATTAGATTCTCGTCAATCTTTACCCTAATATCCAGATATATTATGTATAAGCACATATATGTAAAACATTAAAACGGTTAAGGTCATTTTGTAGGTTAATGATAACAAAAATGTAAATTATAGAACTTTCAATAATAATAAATTGTCACTTGGGTTTTCTATCACCTACTCTATCTTCAAAATGAGTTTTTATCCAGTCCGAAGGTATATAATAAATCTATCAGACAATCACTTCCGATTAGATGTAATAGACATGAAGCTCCCTGTTAATTTTGTCTCTCTTCAAAAAATAAAGCAAAATTTCCGTTAACTACATTGCATGGTTGTAAGCCTGATGTAACTCTGTCTACATAATCATGATAATCTTCATCTACACATATTATGGTACTATATTTATCTTTGATTTTAAATAGAAAAATCACTACGTTTTTTTACGTTATGTATTTTGTTATACAGCAGATTCTGATCGTACTTCGCTACCATCAATTCATGCATCAACTTACTTTAACAATCTGTTTACTTTTCATCTTTGTCAAATTGATCCAATTTATGGAAGCTTATTTTCAGAATTATGCAATGAGTCTGCTTCTGTCGATGTTAATTCTACGATGAATGATTTAGATTTGTTAGTGTTACGATCTGAATTGGTTAATCGTATTGTGAAATATTTAACAAATGGTAAAAATGTCTATGCATTTCCGATTGGATCATGTCTTCTTGGATCATCGAAAAATAGTTCAACTAATGTAAATAAAATGCAAAAATCTCTAACAACAGATTGTACTAATGCAACATCAAATTTATCTTCAACCAATATAAATAATGCAAATCAGTCAGTTCAAGGAATGACAGACCAGAATGCTAGTTATTCAGATGGGATTTGTTGTTCAGGTAACTTTTCATTAGTCTGAAAACAAACAAATTAGTCATAGTGTCAATTGTCTTTAAGTTTTTTGTTTTTGTGATAGATTTGGGTCATGGGACTAGGGCTTTATATTCTATAAACAAAAAAGATGACTGAAAATTTTAGACTGTTATTATCATTTGACAAAAGTGATCAGTTCTCAATGTAGACACGAAGACGTGTCTATATCCTTCAATGTAAATGCAACTGAATTATTGGATTATATCACCCAATAATCTGTTATCAGAAAACTAGTTAAGTGAAACGAATTTTTCCTATTGGTAAAATAAAATACATTTATAAAATGAACTAAACACAAAAATAGACACAATAAGATGTCATTTAATGCATAAACGATCAGGAGATTCAACTTCCTTCAGTCACGAGCAAATAAAATTAATACCTGACTATCGGGTCTGTTACTTGACACAAAATTTTTTCTTGTAAACGGATTTTCAAAAACTGAGAATAATCGTTGTGCTTTACAGTCGAAATAGTAATTAATTCAAAGCACTTAACCTTTTTTGTAGATACAACTCTTTGTAAATGTAAATTTTTAGGTGTTTCCTTTTCTATGTATCTAAATTAAATATGTTCTAACAGAGACTATTCTTGTCACAGATTATTTTTTCAGTTTCTATGTAACTCTAGTTAGTCGAAATGTATGAAATGGAATATATTTTCGTAAAAGTACTTATCCTACCATACATTTAATTGGAGTTGACTTAAAATTGTCTCTGTGATTTTATTTTGAAACTAAAGGCATTCAAATCATAAAGTAATATTTCAAGACAGAAAATTGAAATAGTTTAGTCGATGTAAACTTATCTGACAAACTTTATGAATTATTGATACCCGTTGAATACACATTTCTTTCACTCTTAGATGTCTTACTTTATGGTTGAACATATCGTTCTTAATGTTATTCTCTTTTTTATTTATTCATGGTCTCTATTATAAAAAAATGCTTATTTGATTTATATAATAAATAGTCAGTGTTGATACTCAAAGTATATAGCTCAGTAAAGAAATACTATTTTCATTAATATATACATCGCTTTTTATATAAACTTACGTAGAAAGTGTAGCCACTAAAGAATAGTAATCGTGTAGTGAATAAGAACTCAGGTGGAGAAAACGAACTTAATGTTTAATACACAGCGACTTATTGAAACATTTAAATCATACATTAAATACATCATTTGAACAGCTTCTTTGTGTTTTCTTTTACATACTTCACTGTTCCTCTAATTCTGTCGTTATTTTGATCGCTCTCCGATTTTCTTCCTGTTCTCTTCATCCCAATCTTCTACTGACAGGCATTCTACTTCCGGTCGCTCCTACTTACTACTTATATTTATCAGCATACGTAGCATACATTGCAATTGCAGCTGTACAAATAGAATAAATTATTAAACTTGTACGTACTAATGAATAAACAATTCAATATTTCTCAGTCATCCTTTGAAGTAATGAAGATAAAATGAAACACAGGTTCATTCAATATCTTTAGCTTATCAGTTATATAACCTTTAACAAAATTTTCTCATTAAAACTCTATATTTTTCTTTATGCTTATATTCTTTAGGCAATAATAATAATATTCAGAATGAAGAAATGGTTATTCCATTCATTTTAAATGTTCGTCTTGGCAATTGTTCAACATTAACTTATCCTGGCTTACTGACAACTGTTCCAACACAAATTAAATCTCAACACCAACAACAGACTAGTCGATCATTTACTGCCGATTCACCTCATTCATTTAATACATCTACAGTAGTAGGAAATACAAGTACTACTGACTTAGATTTTAAAGCACCTAGTGATCCAGAACAATCTTATACTAAACGTAATATTAGTCCTGAATCGGTTTCACATAATACAATCATAGCACCAAGGTAATGTACAGTTTTAATTAGTGTATATTCTTATTAAAGAATTTATTATTATCATATAATTTCCTTGTATTGATAATTCTGTATGTAAAGTTTTACGGCAACTGTTACTAAGGCGACATAAATATTGTTGGATTTTGTGATTACTTGAATTTTTATCATCAATACAATTAGTATTTGATTTCAAATGTAGTTAATTGAAATTTGCTAACCTATCTTTCAAGATATATTTATATTTCGTAGAAATAATCGTTAAATTATTCTGTTTCCTAAAATTAATGGACTCTAGATTCTATCTACGCTTCTCCATCTACTTATCGGTGAATATTCTATACCTTTTAGAAGTTATCGAGCTGTAATTATATCAGGACCAAATGTACCCATTGAACTTTCCTTACTTTCACTCTTTTTTCTATTAAATAGATTCACGTAATATCTTTATCTAATTATGTAATCCATATGAACTAGGCACATTAGTGTGATTTTTATCAAGTAATTAATTTTCAGTCGAGCAGATATCCGTACAATAAGGAATCTGGTTCAAATGAAAACAGATCACATCACCATGACGATAGGTAAATAATAAAAGACAGAAGACTCGAAATTAATAACAAGTACACTGTTGGTAGTTGGAAATTAGAAATAAAATAAATGAATTAACTTCATTAAATAAAATAGGATTTCATAGAACTTCATTTAAGTTTTTCGAAATGGTAAAAGTGAATACATCTTCACGAACGTAATCAGTTTAATGAAACCCACTGTTTAATTGTGAATTTCATTCATGATAAACAAATATACATATTTTCTGTATCTCACTATGTGTAAGTTAGACGGAACCAAAGAGGCTTTTAGTATATATGTGCTGCAATTCTGTCAATCAAAAATCTATGAGGACTAATCAAATCGGCAACTAAAACCCACACAAAACTATTGAGTCAATCGAGTCAAGAAATACTTCATTTTACCTTCAACTTTGACTATTGTTCAACACATATCTTCTATTCATACTTTTGGTATTTAGTTATTAAGTTACCAATATTTGCGGGTCAATTAGATAGTGCTTCAGAATGTTCTGTTTCTCATTTAAATGGATTATTATTTTAGTGAACTACTGATCCGGTCTTTACAACCGTAATTCCATTTGCTGCTTAGTTTCTTCGATATAATTTTGTTTTAGGGCGTCAGTATATTTTTGCTCATGAAGTTGATTAGTTTTTGTGTTAAGGTACATTATTTAGAAGTTTACTTAGCTGTTACTATTATGACTTACGACCTCTCATTAATACCACGTGACAAAACCACCAATCAGAATATCGATTTTTATGATTTTTTTCTTAGCTAGACGTTGAGACACGCCAAACAGCACTAGTAGTTTTGACTCACTGCTATGTCCTTATTGATCCTCGACCGAGTAGATTCTCTCGCTATCCTGTCCGTTGTTCCAGAACAAAATAATCAGCCGCCACTATATGAATATCATATCTTAAACATACGTTAATTTTTAGACAGACAAACCCGACTGCATCACATCATAAAATGAAGAACAACAATCATGCGTGACCAAGGCTTGTAGTGGCTATGAGTTGGTGAGACTGCGAATAATAAGTTTGCAATAGATTAAGAATATTTGATCATATAAAAGTAGTTAGTGGGTCAAATGAAAGCCTATGATAAAAGGAATATACATGAATATAATAATCTAGTTAGTTAATAATTATACAGTAATAGTAATATAGATATTAATAATAATCCATAAATTAATTCTGACCGTTTCCATGGATTTAGTCTTCATCAGATATAACAATTACAGTAACTTATATGACTTGGTTTTTAATCCCTAGATAAAGTGATAATGAATTAATTGTTTACAATGTTTGAGATTCAAGATATACCATTTCATGAATCAAGGAAATTATTCTCTCTTTTCTTTTATCGTTGTTTCTTTCTATCGATCGTTCTTCCACATAATATTATTTTACTCTATTTTCAATTTGGAAATCATTCCTTGGGAAATAAATTTCGACTGTAAGAAAATATTTGTCTAACTAATGGGTTTTTTAATTTTCATTTTTTGCTTTTCTCATTCTTACCATTTTTCTTCCTTTTGCACTTTTACACTCATAATTTAGTTTCAACAGTTGTTTGCTTCCTATGTTAAGTTCATGGATTTGGTTTTTTCATTTTAGACTTTCTTTTCTGTTTTTCTTCTCTGAAATCGTATTGAAAATGTTCGAATGTTCTGATCTATAATTACAAACCAAATAAGTCAGATCATTTTTTCTATATTAGTTTTTTGAAATTTTATTTGGTTGTACTTTATTTTATTTACTTTTTTCAACCCTGTCTGAGTTCTTCATTAGATTTTTACTTCATTTTCCTATTGAAAATGAATCATTCTTATTATTCTTATTACCATCACTGAATTAATTACCTCTATGAATTCAGTGTTCATCTTGTGCTAACGAGGTATGGCAACTTGGACCGATGCATATGTGTGCCTGGTTCTGCGTTGTAGCTGACTGACTTATATGTATGATTAACATTACCTTGATGTTAAGATTTATGATGGAGTTTAAGTGCAATCGTTTCTTCCTTCATAGTTATCTTTTTCAGAAAATTTAGCTAATCAGCTTTTAAATACGTACTTTAATGTAAAGCAAAATTTGTGTACAACATCAGAAACAAAGTCATATTTATTATGATTAATACCAGCTTGTAAGTCTGAAGATGGTAACATATTGAATGTCCAGTAGAAGAAACTAACCGGAAAATGAAGGCGTAGATAAACACACTGAGCAGCATTATGCTTACCGTTATTCGATTTAATGGATTATAGAAAAAACGGGAAAGTAGTATATTTTAGAAAGTTAAATACACTTTTGCAATCATACGGCCATATAATTTGCATATAAAGAGTTGCCAGGATCATCTTGCAGGAATGTGATTTTTGTGATCGAAATAAATCATTTTCACAGATAACTAATTCACTTACGAACTTTATTATCAACATGATGTGAAACAATCACATATAAAAGGCTTTAGCATTCCTATGAGATTTTAAAGAACCTAGAATTTGGTTCGACTGGGTTTCGTGTTTTGTCTTATTGAATTAAGGTCACCAATAGTGAAACATACACACATTCATAATTACTTACCTAGCTAGCTGTTTTGAAACTTAATTTTATCAATGCTCTCCACAGATCTCTCACAAATAATGTTATATGGCATGTTAGCTAAACAATTCGATCCGTAAAACTGTTTATTCCAAAGAGTATTCTGTATTACGATTTTTTTGCCATTGTTAAATTTGTTTTTTCATCTGATGTCTGTTCCTGCATTATACTTGTAGAGAAAAATACTGTCGTCTAAGTATGGAAAAAGTAGTTTGTAATCTATAAGTTACTATTACTTTTTAGTTTGTATGACAGTGTAGTTAGCTGTCGTTTAATTAGCATTCACTATCAAATGTCTTTCTGTATTATCTACTAAGATAATAAGTAGTCGTTATTTAAATAGTTCTAGTCAACTATATATTAAACGACAGTTTTTATTGATTTTTATGTTGGTTCACATTACGGCATAATCCTGACAAAGATTTCAACTAGTCTGTAAACAAATACCTTTATTAAAAACTTACTCGCTTTTTTATACACAACGTTGTTATTGAACCTATTGTGATATTATCTATCTGTTTATATTTGTATATATATATTGGGTCATAAATTGTTCACTTCAAAAATAATAATTATGTAAGAATACTGATGCTGAAACCATGATGTCATAAGTTGTTAATTTAATCTCAAACGAAATCTCCAACCAACGTTGCACTGCAAATTAGGCGATAGTTAACCATACGTGTTCCAGCATTGGTTTGTTGGTTGTCACACGATCAGTAAGCAATGCTTTAAAAACATAGGTGATCAAATACTCGTAACCTATCAATATTTTCCACTTTCATAAGTCACACTTCACAGCGATAAGTAAAACATCATGAGTGCCTAAGCAGTAGACTCTTTCTTTAATAGACAAACATATCTCGCCTACGCCCATAGGTGACGTAAGTTGTCAATAGGCAATTAACCGTTTTAAGATCTTATGGAGTTTCCGTTAACCATCAACCCGCAGAGCTGACGAGACTCTGAATGTGAGATATTCACGCTGCTCAACCTCTTCATTTTCTCTCATTTAATTATACATCAACTCAAATAAGTCCTGAATCAATATTTGCCATTTAGAAAGAAACTCTACCTAGACATTATCGGGCTCAGAAGAATTTAAATTTTTCCGGCGCCCTTGCCGAAGAGAACTGCTTAATCTTAGTATCCTCATTCATCAATTAGTTCATCAAGTAAGAGATCGATCTCTGAAAGTTTATGTAAAAAGTGTTGCTACTATTAATATTGTATTCATGAGGAGACTGCCCAGTTCTTATATCAGTTCTCTTTTTTGATTTGATTATTTCACCTTAATCATTTTAAAATTGTTTCTTCTTATCGATATTCATTCGTCATATATTATTGTTGTTACTATTTATTTTTTATCTTTCCATTTATTGTTTATATGACTAGAATACGTCGAAATTTCTCACTATCGTTTCGTTCACATAAAACATTACTTAAAAGAAAATCTTCGTGGGGAAATGGATCTTTTAGAACTAATAACAACAGGAGTAGTGCTAGTAGTAGTAACATTGCTACCACACTTTTATCTGATATGCTACCCGGGTACATTAAATATTTACATTCTATACTGTATACGATAATAGTAAATACCATTTCTCTAACCAGTACACTTTGCGCCTTGGTTTTAAGCTTTTTATTTATCTGAACTACAAACAGTATATTTGCACAATGCTTGTGTTGTAACGAAGTTAACAAAGGTTTTGTTTCTGTATTTATGTGTGTCATTTATAGTATTTTTTATTCGATTTTCAAGTATTTTAGATAATTTATTTTCCACTAATTCTCCATTTATTTGTCTAATCCTTTGCTAGAATAATCGATTTTAGTCTAATTTCTGCACGTAATATCTTCAACGTTATGATGCTTACCGTTAACTCGGCTTTATTTTGTTTTTTTTCTCAAATGTGGTTTACATCAGTTTATTGTTTTCTAGCTATAGAGAATTAATATAAACAACGTATCGTTCATGGTGTATATGAGAAATATGCTTATTATGTGTACATATAAACACTTATTAAAATAACCTATTTGTTTTTATCTTTTATGGAAATTTTCTTCACATATACTCTTATCATAAAATAAACTGGTTATTAAGCTGGAATAATAAAAATAATAGATACCATTAAAAAGCCTACAGTTCAATCTGTTAATCAGTTTCCGAACGTGAAGAAATACAAAACAATTATCACCTTATTGTTCTGTATATCTTTACTTTGACTTATCATTAGTGAACAAGATCATTCAATGTGATTGGCACATTAATTGACTTTCTATTGTAAAATGATGTACAATTTTAAATACAATTCAAAAATGTGTGAAAATTCCTTCGTATTTTGGAACTATGGGGGCATGTGTGTGTATAGCAGTTCGAAAATATTCTTCAAGGTGAACGTTCTCATATTTTTTTGACTAATATATATATTCCTATATGAATATTAAATCACAAACCAATCAATGTTGGACAACCTTTGAAAACCTAGAGGTGCTGGACGCCTGTTTCGTCATAGTATGAGACTCAGCGTTGCATATCGGCGACCCCACAAGTGAGGATGAGACCCATGACCTTCGGTCTCGCTCGCAGATGCCTAACCTCTAAACAACTGAACTGGCACCCAGTGGTGTTATTGTTCAACTACAATCAATCCACGATATTGCGCGACCATCTTGCATTACCTTCGATGGGTAACTGCCTCACACCCGACACGGATTAAATCCACTGATCACAGTTTCTCACTAGAACTCAGGACATATCCTTTTGAAGCTGAGCTGATGATAATTTTCATTATGGGATTGTTGATTAGTAATGAAATCACGAGTCGATCAAGCTTAGAAAACCTGTGAAAACCTAGATGCCCACTTCTGAGAAATCCCCTACTAGGACGAAACGTCCGTCCAGTGCTTTCAGGTTTTCAATGGTTGTCTAACTTTGATTGGCTCATGATTTCATTTTTAACTAACGGTCCTCACAAGTCCATAGTGGCAATACAAAAATAGCTTCGATTAAACATTATTTCCGTAACCATGGTTTATGTGACTTGTTTCAGTCATAATTTTTCTCTGCAAATTAAATAATGATATTAAGTAAAGATTAACAACTTTCCGTGGGATCGATTAAAAATCTGTTTCAGATAGTTAGAGATAATTGCTATGAAAATTTCGGACCAGAGATTCACACTCCTCGGTACCGATTATCCAGAATAATCTTCATTCATGATTGATATGATAGCATCGTAGGAATTTCAATTTCTTTTACGATTTATCGTATTTAAGGGTCTTTTCGATGATTATTTCCCACCACTAAATAATCGACGGCAATAACCTTAATTTCAAATGATTCAGTTGAATGGTCTTTTTTGGGAAACTTGATAAATAGAATACGGTTAACACATTTCTAAGCAACATGATACTGATTAATATACTAGTAAACAAGTAAAGCGGATAAGATTGAATAAAATAAATTCTCGAAAATGATTGTTGATGTAACTTATTTACCAAGCATGCCTTAATGTACGCAACTTGACCCCACATCTTGTATCAGTATGTGTGACATCAGTAATTCGATTACTCAAACTGAAGTATGTGTACATCTCAGGGAGAGGTCAAATGTATGATCTAATAGTTAAAAGTCAAATGCTTCAACTATCGAATTCTGATTTTTATTATGAAAATTAATAGTCGAAGTTTATTGTATCTATTAGTAGTCTGCAAATTTTAAAAAAAACTAATAAAATCATCATGTTTACTTTTAATTTTGTCATAATATTTACATAGATTATTATTTTGTGACTTAGCTACCAAGTATAAACAAAGTCAATGTGTGTTTGTGTCTGTGAAATTAAATTTTGCTTAATGATTTAGCTGTTTCTTTCATGTCTTTGTTGTGTTTTTTTTGTATGGTGTGTGATGTATTTTTCATATTTTCACTTATCTATAGAATATATGTGTTTTTTATGCATTTGTACCAGTTATTGTTATACATTTTTACACGTTTTCTCATTCAAATAACTAGAGAGGTTTAAATATTTTACAGAGTAATAAATACATTAGTCTTTTATCCGAAGAAAACTACTTAAATATACGTATAGTTGCATCTTAATAAAACAATTGAAACCTTTAATTCGCGGGGTTTTTTTCTCTCTATTTATAACGATTCATCTGATTAACAGTTTAACTGTGTAATCACTCAAGGTTTCCAATCATGTTCAACAATAAAATCATAGTATTTACAGTTAATTCTAAATATTCTATCTTCATTTACTTAATTCAGACTATTTAAGTGGATGCTATACATGTTTTTTTTTATTTTGAAATATTTGCATTATTGCTCATTTAAACAAAGTTTATTACTTTTGATTGAAAAGGAAAATGAAGCTGATTACAGGAATTCATTCATATTATACATCATATATATATGTCTGTCGTATTGTTACACAGAGATTGATCGAAATGTTTTCTGATTATTTTGTATGTTATTTAATAGTTTATTTCATACAGACAAAAAGAATTTTGGATTTTGTTGTGTTCATTAAATTAACTTTCTATTCGTGATTTCACGAAATAGTTGGATCTTGTCGAATTCCGTGTCTCTCTCTGTTTGTGTGTGTTTATGTTGAAAAGTTGTGATAATTATATGCGAAAGCAATCTATAATTTATATTCCTTGTATATTAATTTTTTTAAACCTTGAGCGCTGCATTGATATTGTAAAGAATCACTAGCTGTTCAAAGTTCTTTCTGTTTTGTAAAGTATATTTGAATACTGTTTCTTTCGTAAGTGGAGTCTAATAAGTATATATGTTTTAGGACTCTTTATTTACCTTAAATTCTTGTCTCCGTTATGTTGCTTAACAATAATATCGAGGAATTTTATAGACTTCACGTTTACGTTCAATATAATGATTGGTTTTCAGTCATTTCACTAACAGTTTCCTCTTAGCAATTCCTACTATCTTTGAAATCCAAGGCAGTAAACACACTGAATAATACATAAAATTAATATTTTCTCATGATAAATTCGAATAAGGTTTTATCATGTATGATGCCAAGATGAATAGTGTGTATAAATGCATGGTTTATCATGTTTAGTTACTTATTATAGACGTTTATAAAATATGCTCTCTAAACTTTTCTATGGCATATCATATTTCTAGACTATGAGAGGATCGTTTTATGTTTATTAAAGTACATGTAGTATTAGAAGTTTCTATTTAAAAGAATGTCATGTCATTTTTCATACGTTTAATATTGGTTAATTTGTGATATTGTTAACATTGAAGACAAGCAATTTGTTAGTAATATTTGATTATCTGTGTTCAAACGTTTGATAGATTCTTGTGTTCTTTTTTATTATTAATAGTCTGACTTCAAAACGTACCGTTATTTGTTTATGCATTCAGTGATGAGATCACGTAGATTATTTCTTATTACATTGAGTTTATACTATCTGTTCAGATTTATACCTGCAACTGTGTATCGTCAGTTCAGGTTTGCATTTTGAAATGTTGATTTTGAGAACTTGGAGGCAAGATACCCTGAATCCAGTTCTCTTACTATTCAAAGCTTGTCAGCAATCATCAAAGGTGTTTCTACGTCTTCTGAGCCATTATAATGGAAATATTAACATAGTAATAGCTGTTCGAATTGTTATTAACTGACTCCAATCACCTGATAGCAACGCATAGTATACTTGGTTTCGAATCACTTGTTCCAACGGCCACATTGTTGCTTGGCTGGTAAAATTTTACTAGTGCCGACAATTAGATAAGGACGACATTAATTATTACCTAATGGAACAATTAAAGCATGTCACCAACATTGTTTTTTGTAAAACACTTAACTCGTTCTTGCAGCCGCTAATATTTTTACTAATATGATATATTTTTTTCGCCTCATTTTCTATCCATGTTGCTTTTAATCATAATATATGTATACAGCTTTTTAACAATATGCAACTGATATTCTTTTTTGTTTAATATGAATTAACTATGTTTGGCTTTGCTGCTTTTTATTACAAAATTTTTTAAAATTAATCTACTCAGTACTTCATAATGAGCATTAATGCAATTCTAACAATGAATTTTAATATTAATTTATACTTCTTTTCAACTTACTATCAACTACTCCACTTACTAATATAATTTTGGCAAATATAGATCACATTCTTCTGCTCAAAGAAGCGGTCAGTCACCAGTATTCGGTTCCGATCGACGCCTTTGGGATATCCAAATAGAGTACTGGTCGACACCAAACCAGACTACAACAATAAATAGCAATAATCAAAGTAGTCAAATTACTTCAATGTCATCGTCGTTTTCATCCGCGAATTGTGTTTCAAATAATATCACTAATAATAGTGTTCTTTCTTGTCCTACAAGTCCACCAAGTACAACATCGGATCCTGTGTTACCGCCACGACGTTCTACTGTAAAAACTATATCTCCTGGTTTAGTCGTCACGATAGATTCATCAGCCAATACAATTGGTTCTGTGTTATGTTCGCCACATCGCAATGTTGACATATTTAATTATGGTATGGAATCTCATTCCAACAGTTTAGTTTATTCACCAAATCGTCATGTACAATGCAATTTAAATCAAACACATACTCAACATCTCGCTCTTGGATTATGGACAAAGGAAAAGAAACAAAAAAGTAGGTGTTTACAGATTTAAAATGAATATTTTATTATATGTATGTATACGTAATCAAAATTTCTTTTTTCTCATCTACAATAACCGCTTGTAGATTTCCGAATTATAACTCAATATTAAGCTGTTCGATTCAATGGTAAATAAGTTCTATAAGCAGAGATAATGTTGGCTACCAGTGGAATCCAGGACGTGCAATTCGTCTTATTTTGGAACTCAGCTGGATTTCACTACGAGCCATCATCCATCTTTGGTTATTATGTTTCTTGTATTTTCCATCGGCTATAATTATGACTTGCTGTTGGTTTTCGTTTTATTTCTTATACTCACGCTAAGTTTCTTCTCACGATTATTGTATTCAATTAATTTATTATTTAGTTTGAAAGAAATCCGTACAATTATTTTATGATTATAAATCAATCAGTGGTTATTTTGAATAAATCATGTGTATACGAATATGTAGAGCAAGAGTTCAGTGATTAAACATTTCTACTTTCAGCTAGTAAGTTCCGCGTTCAAACCCTACTGTACCTCCTACGGTTTTAGCAACTGAACAGTATGATTAGCCTCTAAACATAAAATATAGCTCTAAGCCACATACATGAATCTTAACCTTAAAATGTGTGTAGTATAATACTGTACATGAATATGATCTCAGAAATATAATTACACTCACTGTGATTTACTCATTCATTTGCTCTCAGCACATGTTTATATAGTCAAACTATCAGATGTCCGATGGATTTTGAATAACACATTTCAATGTTTGACAAATCCCAGAATCGATAAAATACTTGAATTTACAACTATTTACGGATTCATCTATGTTTACTGTATACTACAGTTTCTATTCAGTCATGTTTAATATGTATATCTAACCAATAACGCATTTAGCAATTATCACATTAAGACAGACACTAACTACCATAAGTTCTCTTCCTTTAAAAAACTAACTTATCATTTGGAAACTAACTTGAGACCAATCAATAATACACTAATAATTTATAGATTGATGGATATTCTCCACCTCTCTATGAAATTGATATATTTATATATTTCAAAAAATCTGGTTACTCTTGACATATATGTTCAGCACTCGAGTTAGTATTAAGGTATTAAAAGTAATCAATCTTAACGAAATATGAGAATTTATTTTATTTTGCAGAAAGTGCATTGATTTAATTTTCTCATGAATTGTATTCAAAGGATAATAAATTTTATTTTTGGCAGAGTTTTGTTCTCTGAGCTGGATGATTTGGTCGCGGAGCTTTCATCGTTATTCTAAACGAGATCATCAGTACAAACTCCAGGTCGAAGTGAAGTATTCAAATTTCTTCATATACGACTCATGACTTATCCTGTAGATCCTGGTCTTGATTGGTTATTGTTAACCTTTAACCTATCATTGTCGACTTTACTTTGATTGTATCTACAATTGCTTTGATTTTTTGTCGTATATTTGTCCATGATTCCCCTTGAGTGTTACGGCACGTTTTCCAAGTCTAGCATTAACAAGGAAAAATCTAAATAAACAGTTTCATACGAAACTTTTGAAACAAAGTGAAAAGTGGAAAGATGCCCTTACTATTTGCTCTATCGAACGTTTCACGAGTTCTATAGTGATAAAAGTTCCATCAACTTTCACATGATCTCCTATTGTTGTTTATCAGAACAATTGACTCATTTTATCTTTCCTCCTTAGTTAAGCTTACCCTGAACTTTTTAAATTTATTTTGTAGAATTTATAGAAATATTACTTAATTAGTGTATTTTTAAGTAGCATTACTTCAACTTCTTTTTCATGACCTTAACCAAATGAAAAAAAAGAAGGTCCAGTCATTTCACTACGTATATTTATCCTTTCTAATGGTAATTTTTACCTGACTCTTTTGACTAATATTAAAAGAAGAGATATTATATAACTCGTCAATTTTTCTGATTAAATGAGAGAATTCCCCCACTTTTCTTTCAATTATTACTTTTCACTCCAATGTTTATTATCAAATTAGTTTACTGATTTCATTTACAATTCTATGATAGATATATTCACTGTACTTTTAGTTAAAAGTGCTACAGATTGTTTGGATAGACCGAAATTTTTCTGAAAGTTTTAAACAGAAACCCCTGATGTTGTTGACACATTCATTTATTCATATATAGCCTCTTCTATAGCTCATTTTGTATGTCCTGTCTTGTAACACCCATTTAAGTAATGAATATTTAAAGCAATTAGTCCCTTTGATAAATTTCGATAATGTAATCACATAGTTCTGATAATCTTCGTCTTCTTATTACATTATCGTAATGAATATTTATTACAACTCTTTAAAAGTCTTCTTTGCTATTGTAATCGTCTCTAATCGTTGTAAAATGGAACTTCTTATAAGCTGTCCAGCTTCAACAAGCTTGATTTGACAATAATAACTGTAACAGCTAAACCCTATTTTCATTGAAAACGTAAAATTTATAAATTAAAATATTGATATTCTTTGCAGTTAAAACACATCAACTTTTGTTTTCTTGTTTTTAAAAACAGATATCATTGTCTAATTACCAGTTTTATTATATTTCTTTGTTTGTTCTAATATTGTATACAGAATTTATTACCAATCGATAAAACCTAATTAATTTTCATTGTGTTTCTCAACTTTTTTCAAAAATTTCAGTTATGCTTATCGGTCGTAAAGGTAAAGAACTTAATTGTCGTTATGAGTTGATTACTGGTATTCAACGTCTTTTATGTACTGGACGTTGTTGTAATCTCCATAATACCAGTTCAACTAATAGTACCGAACGTTCAAAAGATACAGAATCCAGTCATCATCATTCTTCATCAGCCGGCTTAATAACAGATTCAAACGTTCTGTGCTCTCCAGATTATAAAACTTCAAGTACAATATCTGCATTAGGCTTAGCGTTGACTGGTGGTAATGCTAGTAATTGTGGTTTTTCAGGGTTTACTGGGAACAATAATCATATGATGAGAGGTTAGTTAATTTTGTTGTTGTTGTTGTTGTTGTAATAATTACATGATTAACAAACAAGATAAAATTTGAACACATTAACATCAAAGATCCGGTTTCTTCGTTCTTGATATAACTTTATTATACTGAATAATTTATCCCTAGATTTTCATACACATGGTTCCTTTTACTATCCTAAAGAGTGTAAAAACAAAAATTGGTGCAGAATAATATTAATTCATTTTATTTCGTTAGGTTCTCATCAGCTGCTTACAACTTATAATCGACGTTATTACAGATATTGACATACTTATCAATGTGCAAATGAGTAGAGATGAATATGTGTATCATGATGTAGCGAAGATTCCGATGTAGTTTAAAAGGCCAGAAATTTTTTTATCTCAGATAAATAAATAAAGTGTAAGAGAAGTTCCAAAACATCGAATTAGTGACCAGAAACCATAGAGTTAACAAACATTAAATTGTGTGATGAAGCAACTAAAAAATAATTAACTGTAATAAAGATATAAGTTGAAGTCAGTCAATTATGAATGAAAGAGAAATGACAATGGTGTAATCAAAACTTCGGGAAGAGTTGAATGAATTTTGAATTTGCATACACACATGAATTGCTGACCTCCTAATTAAGTAGTATATGGTTGCATTTAATTTTTAAGATCAAATTATACGAATTAATTGTGTAATTAAAAGTCTACTGCTTAATCAGTGGTTAGAATTTTTGAAAATAATTCGCCTTTGATTCATCGAACTAGTTCATAGCATAGGCAAATATTGAACCGTAATGTGTAATATATAATTTTGCAGTATGAAAAGCTACTCGGTTTATCTATTTTTATCACTTCTTATTATATATCATATCAATCACAGTTTTCAATTTGCTTTAATAATATACGTGAGTAGCTTAATTTTACGTTATATAATTTGGATTCTTAATATTCAAACAATAACTCTGACGTAACTGGTATTAGTACTGGATTTGTTATTGAACTATTGATTATTTGCTTACTATAGACAAAATATTTTGAAGCATAAAGTAGTTACACAAGTAATTTTGTGTCAATATTTTGTCATGTTTTTGGTACATACAAGTATCCAAAATCTACTGCCGGTGTTTCATCATTCTTATTGTTATGTTTTCTAATCTTTACAGTTTGGATAGATGGTGTTGAATGGACCGATTTAAAATTTCATTCATTCATCATTCTTATTGTTGTGTTTTCTAATCTTTACAGTTTGGATAGATGGTGTTGAATGGACCGATTTAAAATTTTTTCAAATCACTCCTGTTTGGCGTACACATGTCAAATGTTTTCCAGTTGTTCTATTGAATACTAATCAGGTGGACACAGCAACTCTAGTCAAATAAAAATAATCATAAGTTTTATTTCGACACGTTTAGTGAGGTTGATCTGGTAAAAAAAAGAAAACCGAATGTATAGTCTATGTATTTGTTCTGTATGATTGTATTGTTTTTGCATCTTTTCTAGAAGTTCTCTTTTCCTCTAGCATTTTTTTTTGTTTATTCTTGAATTCTAATGCCAAATACTAAACTCAATCATAGCAGTGAATAATAATTGTAACAATAATGATAACTAATTCAATGCATTTATCAGTGGTATTATTTTATTCATATTTATGTGTGTTTTTCATTTCACCACATTTATTTTTTGCTTTCATAATCACTGTCTTCCAGATTATGTTGTTCGAATAGATTTTATTTTGTTTGTCTGTTTATAAGATAGATATCCATCCTTCTCATATATTGTAGATGCAAGTCGTCTTTTGTTTCTGTCTATCCATTTTCGGTATCTGATTACAGTACTATTTGAAATAAATTCTATCTATTCCTTCTATTTACTTGTTACTCGTTGTCTTTAGACATTTTTTTCAACTTTGTTGCAACCAACTACCTTACTTTCTGTTAATTTCATCATGAAGTATAAATTAATTTCCATATTCAATGTCTATTTTCTGTCAATCCAAATCAGAATGCTTGTTTCTTTTTAAAAAAATCCAACTTGAGATGTTTTTACCCCATCGTCAGGTAGTTTATATATCTGTACACATATATAACGTTTCCGGTTATGTTTATTGGCCAGTGTGTATGTCCCACTTTCTTTATTGTTAATTCTCTGGTTAATCACGATTATTTATAGTTTTACATATATTTTGTTTTGCTTTTCTAAGGAAAAACTTTTAACCTATGAATGCTTTTTTCTTCCATATATATATCGCAGATATAAGTACACATCGTTTTGTCTTTCATATTCTGCTTCAGAAATTATTGTTACCGCAAATTATTGTGACACTGATCTAAAGTTTTATTTGTCAAATCAACAACAACAAATTAATGGACTGTATATTATATCTTTTACAAGTATCAGTTGTATCATGTACGTGTCAAATAAAATTAGGTTTTTTTTCTTTGGTAGTATTCACAAATGAATTGCTTTGTTTTTTGTCTAACAGAACCTTGATAACATAGAAAAGGCTTTCTGAAACTAATTGACAAGATTTCATGTGCTTTTTATTGTTCTATGTAATATTATTTTTTATCTAGTTTCATGCTTCGTTGTTTTGGCTAACATTATGTCTATCAATATTAATGATATTTTAAAGGTTTTCTTTTTATTTATTTAGGATCAATATTTATTATCATTATTGATTTTGTCTGCCATGGCTATTTTGTTTTATATGAACTTGTTTCTTATGACTGCAACATTCTTATTTATACGCTTTGTGTTCAATGTTGATTGTGTTCACTTCAAAAAGATGATCGGTATGTTTATATATATGGAGAGAGAGAGCATCTCATTAACTTGCTTTTTGTCCCTTCCACAGTTTCTTGTATGTACATCTTTTACATGATTTTTCAATGGATATTTATCTTTACACTTGGTCAACTCATATTTGGTTATTTAAAAACGAAAGCAGAATTTATCTTCAATAATTATTTTTAAATTTATAATTCTAATAAGGATTATTGTTGTCCAATTAAAATCATTCTCAGTATTTGAAAAATAAATAAATTGTCTAATTATAATTTTTATCAGAAGGGGTTTTTGTGGAGATTTAGTATTTTCATAGTTAGACATAAGCACCATCCGGTGCCGGCTCAGTGGTCTATCGGTTAAGTGCTCGAGACTGGTAGGTCCTGGGTTCGAATCTCGCGAGGCGAGGTCGTGGATGCACACTGCTGAGGAGTCCCATAATAGAACGAAACGGCCGTCCAGTGCTTTCAGGTTTTCCCTGGTGGGCTAGCTTCAATCGACTCACGCTTTTAATTATGAAAATCATTATAATTTATTGCCTAATAAAACTAAGTATTCGATACACAAATCTAATCTTTAAAAAGCTTAAGCATTTCTACATTCAAAATGGAGAATTTACATATTTTTATCAACTTAACTAATAAGTCAGCTAGTTATAACTAGCTGACATTTGTTGTATGATGTAAAGTAAAAATAAACTTTTTTCTGCGATTTTATCAGATCTAATTTCATAATCAGTTATAAATAGATTAAGACTTGGCACCGAATTCTATAGGTAAGAGTTGGTATGACCATGAAGAGAAAATTATCAAGCTAAGAGTAAAATAGATTGCAAATATTACTTGTATCAATGATAGAAGAGGTGTCAAAAATTGAATATAGTTCAGGAAAAGAAAACAATAAAAGCAACTAATAAGAATGATGAAATAGTATTGCTGTGGGGTTACTTTGCACATAGTCGTGTGCCTAATTCTGCTTCTAATATTTATTGCATTTGAACGAGTTCGCTGTATTCCTTGGTTCCTCTTCTGTATCAGCTGTGACCATTATAGTGCGTGCTGGGAAATTACCAAATGTTGAAAGAAAACATACAAATGCCTTTTTCAGATTGAAAAAATGCATACAGTAGTTACGAAGTATCTGAAATTGAGCTCCAGTTGAGGAAAAAGTCCAGTATACTTAGTTGTCCTAACTAATTCATTCTTAAGATCATCCAAATGTTAGTTGACTCAGTGATGATTCTTATTACAATAAAAACGGACAGTTGGTGTGTTGATCCCAAAGCAGTACACCAAGGTGAGAACGAGCTCGGTAAATAGTGGAGACTTGTAGCGTAGGTAGCAAATATATACCTTGTGGTAAATTCCACAATCACTCCCAGTTCGTAATGCCTAACGCTTTAAATTTTGTATGGCTAGACACATTAAGTCTGCGTGTTGTCCTACTGTTCATTTCGCTACGTGAGATGGGTCTCTTAATCCGCATCTATGTAGTACGACAGACCATATACTTTACTATTTACAACCTTCAATAATTACTTCCTTATTCAAAAACTATTGTGCTTAATGATTCTTTCCATTTCATTGTTGACACTAAGTGTCACATCTAATACTGAAGTCGAAAATGTACTAACTAATCAAACCTACCAAAGTATGTGACTTCAATTAGCAATACATCTTAATACATGATTCAACGAAAAATCTTCTAAAGTCATGATGTTCCTGATTTTGTTAACAGTGGAAATTCGTGCGGTTTCCCCACATGTAACGCTAGTTGGAATCATTACCTCTCTAGTCACATATTCATTGTTTTTTTGAATAAGTAAATACTTATCCTATCCATTAGGACAATTTATATTTACTATGACTAATACGCTGAATTCTCTTTCAGTTAACTATTACTCCATTTCAATATAGTCCAGAATTACTTATTTATGCTCAGAGGCCCGAAGATTCCTGATTCACCTGTTGTCAGAATATGCAAAACCAGGAAGCAAATAAAAAGATTTACGGAGCAAAATATTACACGCGAATCATTAATCATAACTAAAACCGAAGCAACAGGGTACAGTTAAAATCATGTGCGTATATGTTCAACCGATCGGCAAATAAAGTGCATATTCTTCAAAAGTTTAATTAATTATTCAAGAATATAAGATATGACGCTACTACAATGCAATCAAAGATAAAGTGAATTTGTGAATGACTGAGAAAAATCAATACATTGTATCATAATAAATAAGCAAATAATTAAATTTGGTACTCAATTTTAACTTATTTCAATATGCAGGGGAAAAACTTCCCATCTTAGTAAATTCCGAATGAACTCTCCTCACATTCGTACTCAGAATGTCGGATAGCATACCATAAAGATAATCATGATGATTAAAGTAAATAATGATCGGATCCTTCAGAAATTGTGAAACCTAAAAGATACTAGAACTAAATTTCTGATCAATGTCATATAATTACGAAATACTATGTATCTCACTAACTTATTGGAGATTCATGCACTTAGCGGGTATCTACACTTCATTTTATGTTATGGTCTGAACAAGCCTGGCCATTAAAAACATCAATATGTTAAGTGGTCAGGTGGCTCAACACCTCACTTTATCTTTGTTTGTCTGTCCACCTAAGTGAAACCTTGAAATATAAGTCTCTAAAACACTTTTGAATTATTCAATTAAATAAAAGATACAAACGAAGTTAAAGAGAATCTATGTTTTATTAGCATCATCAATGAAGTCAACAGACGTGAACACTACATAGACTTTTTAAAGTAAATTCAGTAGGGTAAAGACCAAACTTGAAAATAAGTGAATGAAAATTTAGTTCTTCAACCCATCACAATCAGTCATTTGATAATAACCTAATGATATCAGTAGGCCTTTTTAGTTACACGAATATAGACGAGAAATAATATCAAATGTGAGGGTGGTAAGTGACACAGCTCTTTTAGTCTTAACATTATAAACTGAGTCGACTGAACATAATCCTACAGTTTCAACTCTCGTGAAAATAACAACTTACATTTTAACGTTAAGATAAAAAGATACACCAGTTAATCAACAATAAAAATGACTTCCAATTAACTAAACTGACTGGCTCAATAAATGATATTCATTTGTAAAGTCCCCGTTAACAGGAAAGGACAAAATGCTGATCGAGATCTATTAGATCCATGAAATGGTGTAAATAATTTTAAAGTGTTCATGCGAAAAAGGGTAAACAAACGGAACAACAGAGAGTTAATAACATTATAAGCGGGAGAAATGAAAGAGTGACAATGCAGAAAAGGTTTCATCGAAATTTGTATAAAATAACTCGAAAGAGAGCATCTAAAACATTGTCCTAAAGAATGAAACTCACTTATACAATAGCCACATAGAATAGGAATACAAATTTATTTTTAGTTTATACAACTCAATGATAAACCTGCATATACAGTGCAGAAAGTGACTGACATGAGAATTCTTTGCTACGCTTCCTTAGCAAGGTAAGGCTGCAATCTTTTATAATTAATTAGGAAATGTGAAATGATTTCGTACATATCCATCTACTCAGAAATTATCATTAACGCTTTAAAATTTTATTACAAACATAAATCCCAAGAGGTATTTTGAAGTAATCTATTCTAATTAATTATAAAACCCCTTAGTTCTACCAGCTAATGTTAACTTGATCAAATTTTCTTACCATACTTCGCACTCCCATAGGATTATACACTTTGAGCAGAGGAACAGTTCGAAACGCACAGAAATTACTCCCATAAATATGAATGGAAAAATTCACAATACAAAATTCACAACCAAACATTGTGTGGAATTTCAATTTAACGCTACTCAAAAGTTTTACATTGAGTTAGGGCACAATAGAACTCTCACTATACTAGAAGCATTACGGCGAGATTATAATTTATGGACGATCTCTGAACGAATATTCAGTGGCCTTGAGGAATTTCAGTGAATCAGCAAAGTCAATATAAAGAATATATTATACAAAACCAAAAAAATTAGTGAATATACTTCCTTAACATGGTTCAAAAACTTTTCAAGGTTATAAAGAGGTTCTGCGATTCTGAAATTGTCATATGTACGATACAGGAACTCATCCATGTGATTTCATAATAGTCGACCTCTGAAGCCAGGAAAAGGTTGTAAAAATTCTTTTAGCCTTGACCACATTGCTTCTTTATAATTTGTGTGTACTCCAGCGGTAGTGTCTACAGAATGCCGCCTGTGGACAACGACAAGATGCGTGTAACCAAGTCTATAAAAGCACCGATATGCTCTCCAGTCATCCGTGTATATTGTGGTTTTTGGCTGCACATAGTCTTATATATACGGTATCGTAGTTGTGGCTTTACGGTTTCTAACGCGCTGGAAGTGTCCTTTTTGAGATGGTCTATCATATGTACCAAGGACCTTTTAAGTACATTTATGGAAATTCTACTTATCCGGTTTTCCTTAACTCATCATTCTCTATTGAATTCGCATATTCTAACGACAGTTTCGTTTATTTCTACGATTCTCCTAACTTCTTCAAACGAATCACGCAAGTTTATCAATTTAATTGCACAGATATCTCGACAATACTCGTTCCATTAAACTGCCGAAACTTCAGTAACATCTGCAAAGGTTGCAGCCAGTTTCACTGGTGCTTTTATTATCCAGTTTGCAACAATTATAATAAACTGTATTAGCCTCAATCGGGATCGACCGAAAAAAGCTCTTTCTCTAGCAGACCTTTTCCTCCAACATATATTACATCAAAGTACATCATCACGATAGTCTGTACAATGTTGATGAGTCATTTGAATACCGCAATGACAAATAAACGAACATCTTAGTAAACCTATTTTTTGTAACCGCTTAATTATGACGGCTTCTTTAAAATTTACCGTAAACCGATAGTACGCGAGCTCTGGGTACTAAAATAAGCGTTCAAACGCTTATGATTGGCTCGTTAGTAAATTGCAGACTCACCAGAGTAGCAAATAGAGCCTCACTGTTACCAATATTATGATTAATTCAGAGGAAAACATTAACTTTGTATATAAGAAATTTCGTCTAAATTAGAGTGAATAGTTTCACAGTATTTGAGCGCCGAGTTGATGTAATACACTAAATAGGAATAATATATTTGTAAAATCTCGCTGAGTTTTTAGAAATATATTATTAACTTTGGATTTCACAAACATGATCGTCTGCGATTTTAATACTGTAAGCAATCGATGGAACTTACGATTACGACCGTTCCTACAGATGAACTCACCTACAAACTTACAGATGGAATACTCTACTTCATAATGTACATCGACCTGTAATACAATTAACCCAATTGAAAATCGTATCAACCGAAGACGTTTATAACTGATAACGTAGTGAATTCGAGAAAAAGCCTGCTGACAAATATCAAGCTTTAAAGTAAAAGGATAACCGACAAATTATCATCTACTGAACAAAAGCATTTTACATTAACTGAAACTGAAGTTAAGTCAACTTCATATTTTTGGAGGTGGCCAGCGAAAAGCGAAGACATCTAGCATTTGATAACAGTTAAAGCATCCAGACAGAATACACATCTGTCTCATACAACAACAAAAAGTCAGCTGGAACGCAGTAAAGTACGGTATTAGATTAAAATAGAAAATATTCTTCGAATGATAGGTATTCCATGTCACACAGGTGCTATGTGAAAACAACATCTATACAAATTTCCTAAAAGTGTATTTATCGTGCAAACATGTCGGTGGCTTTAACTGATTAGTAATTTACGGTTATCTTAAGGTATTTTTTTTGGCTTTGAAAAGAATGAAATATCTGTCATCGTTTTCATACAGCTGTAAAGAAAATGAATTCTACAAGAAAGGACTCGTCTTATATGTTTTAGCACATCAAATAACAATATAGGCTTAAATGTTTTATTTCAGTTATGATCGACGTAGCTTCGTTTTAAAAAGTTAAAAAACTGTGAAATTGCTGATAATTTATTCAGTTTTGAAGATAGAGGTATTGCTACATTATCATCGGACCTAGACATACAAATAAAATTAAGAGAAAATTAGAAACTGTACAAAGGTGTAAGTTGAAACACCGTCTGTGCAAAACAATGAGAAATATGTCATTTCCGCTTTAAGCTTCTGGAGGCTGAGTCTGATGAATGCACCTTTTTTCTGGTTGGTGACGGAGTCCGAGAACGATGAGAGTGGCGATTATGAGCTGCTACTGGGTCTGGACTTCGTGAACGGTGTCGTTTGCGGTTCTGTAAAAGAAAAACAAGATAAAATTATTAAAGACCAAAAGTTCCTTAACATAATTAAAAATATAGCTGATGATCCACTTTCAAGTGAGGGATAATCAGACATTTAGCGATACTCTCTTTACTATAATGAGGTTTAATGCTAAAAAAGATAAAATTTTGCAGCTGCAACTTAAACATAATCATAATTAGCCGTGCGATATCTTTTATGGGCTTATTATCCAAACTATATTACTAAAGAATGTGAAGACTATTGAGATCTAATTCCTTAATGAATTGTGTGCCTATCTACCTGGGCAGTATCACAGCTTTCACACAAATCAAATGAAATTTGTGCGGCAGATATATATTTGGTGCTTTTTTGTACTAATATTTGTGTTTAAATAAATAAATAAATAAGCAATAGTAAGGGTAACCCAATTAAAGTTCTGCTAACCGATTTGTGTGGAACATGCTTCTTCTTTGGAGTAATGGAATGAGACTGATTTGAAGTAAATGCCCCCGCGTCATCATCCTCAGTAGCTTCTCCTTCTTCTGCATCTTCTAAATGTGTTGAGTAGCCAATTTCATCTTCTGTCGAGTCAGGCTCCCAACCAGATGCAGATGTCCTCCGACGTTCGCTGGAGTTTCGTGAGTCCATTCGAATAGAAGGGCTATTATAAGTACTCCAGTCTCCAGGACCCAGGCTACCAGAAGGAGAGGCATGACGTCGGCGAGGGCGATCACGATCACGGAATGAACGCGGAGGTGAACGATCCCTTGAATTCCTTCGTGTAGGGGAAGATGACATATCACGACCTCGTGACTGATATTTCGATTGATGAGGTGTCAGACCACTTTTCTCTTTAGTACATTTGGATGGTTTGGATTTGTTACGATGAACAGATTTATGTCCTTTTTTATGTACAGAATGTTCATTTTCTACTAGGCTTTCTAAAAGGCGCTCTCTATAACGTTGAATTTGCTGAAAAATAAAATAAAATAATTTAAGTAAGAATCACTATTTTAATTAATAGTGGAAAAATTGAGAAGTCACTAGTAGATAACAAGTAAAAAAAACTATGTAGAACATTGTGAATCTCATATGAACCAACATGTATAAATTGACTTTCGACTGCAAATAACTCTGAAAGCGTGTGAATGAATGGTCTGAGAAAGAGACTTCGCACAGTTAGTAAACAGAGATGAAAACAAGTTCCCAGAAATAGTTACAACGTAAATGTTTACAAACAAACACTGATCGTAAACCTTCTATGAAATTACAGGTAATATAAAAAGATTACAAAACCAAGGAAATTCAAGTCAGTGTTGAGGAAAGATATTTCACGGAACATTATTGCTTATTTAAAAGTTCCTAACAAATATTATATCTCATAGATTAATATGATGTCTGAACACGTTAAGATAATATCGAAAATGGAAGGAAATTTTTGATCTAAGCATGACTACTTACTGTTGACGGCAGATAAAAACAAATAATGTAAAGCATAATGACAAATATGTGCCGACAGGAACCACTATTGGTTTACCTTGTTTATAGCTTCATCCGTAATTGTTTTATCTCCTTTACGACTTGCCTCCAACTCATCTTGATACTTTAATACCTTGAGTTCAACCTCTCTCAAGATAGCGCGACGCTCTTCAGAAACAGGTGTTGTTGTCGAAGTACTACTAGGCGTTGAAGAAACATGAGAAGTTGCGGAAGTTACGGGAGTCGGACAAGGAATTTGAGAAACAGGTACAGGTGAAAGACTAGATTCACTGGCAACTGGACTAGCAGCATCTTCGTCATCATAAGCCACAAGTCCTCCTAAAATGGGTAATGGTCTAAAACAAAGTACATAAATAAAAATGTCTATCACTAAAAGAGACAGATTTAGGATGACATAAAATGACAACTTATTTCCCAAAATCATTAATTCGCGTTAGCGGAAGTAATACTAAAAGGTCCTAGTGATAAACATAAAATTAAGATCATGAAGTATTAAATGAGATATACATACACATGGAAAACACCCACAGTGAAAAATGATTGATATTTAGTTCCCAGAAATTGTGCTGATAGAGGAAGCTTAGAAGTCATGATCTACATAGGAAAAGTTGCTGGACAACTTAAATATGGTGTAACACTGTTCAGAGAATCAAATAAAAACCGAATAAAGACTAAAATTTAGTAACGAAAGTTTGATGGTGCAACTAAGTTATTAAATTTTAGACCATACGGCATGTTCGACTAATAATTATTTATAAGATTTCACTTAGTACTTTTAAACGAATTCAATAGTCTATAATTTCTTATGAAATTATGTGAAAAGGAGGAACGCCGGATTTGAACCCTATAAACAATGATTTTTTTACAAAACAGGTATGTAGGGCTGCCTAGCCCAGCCAGTTAAGTCCAAAACATCAATAACAGCCTCAGTGGTATGAATCATTATTTACAAACACACTGGGTTTTTATACAAACCAAAGTAATCAATAAACTGATTGTAACTCAAGAATCGTATGATAATGAGTCAAGGTCAAAATAAAGCTAATGACAAGAGAAATACGAATATGAATAGTTCAGTTACGTAATAATTGTACAATAGGAAATAGGCATATTACATTGATCCATAAATAGACCTAAAAGTTACCATTCGTAATTCACCGGGGGATATAACAGTAATCTAGCTCTAATTTAAAAATGTATGAAAAAGTGTCACTTACTCTCCGTCTACATCATCATCTTTATTTGTTGAAGCATTGTCACTCCATCGACTTGTATCAAGTGGGATTCCATTAACTAATTCAGAAGGAAGAAATGCTCCCTTATTTAAACCATTCGGCTGGTTCTGAAGATGATTAGGTGTATTTTGAATGTTATCACTGGACTTGTTGATAGGTTGGTCTTTTTTCATATCTAAAGTGGAGGCGGATTCCCATATACTTGCGACCGTTAATGTCTCTGGTTCAGTAGTCTCAACAGTTTCCCATTTGCTTGGAACAAATAAACGATTAGAGGTATCCCCAGATGGTTTTACTTCATCCTCCGTTGCAGGTGCACTGAACTGAGAATTCTTAGGGCTATAAAAGGATTCAAGAAATTCTTATACAGAATTAAAAACAGACTGAGCAAAATGTTAGATTACCCTGATGTATTCATATAAATAAAAGTAATAGACTTAATGACTAAAATTGAAACAGAAATCTCTTATGAATTAATCTCTCATGAAACTATAACCCCCGATTAGCATTAGGCTAAATTGAAGAAAACAATGTAAGAAAAAGGATATACAGTAAATCGTTAATTCATTACTAAAACGTCAATTAGTATATGCCAACATTGATAATAAACATAAAATTTATGACAACTTCTAATAGATTATATTCAATGACTTTTATCACTCACGCTCACTATCTAAAATAGTAAACTCGAAATGGTAATTGAAACCATATTGTGGAAGAACGAAGCTATGACAGAACCACACAATAAGCCTATAAAACAGAAGTAGTCCATTTGTATTGCAATATTAATCTCTCCCGATCAAAGCTAAGTAGGTAGTAGTTGACTTACATTGCTAAAACACTACAACTTATTTATTTATTAGAACACATAAATATTTGTACAAAGGGGAACCCAATACTATCTAATAAACACACAAGCAGAGAATCTAGCACAAAACTACATTGGTTCAGAAAGCCAAAAGAATACATAAAAAGAAAACCAACGAAAACTGGGAAAATGTTGAAACAAAAATAATACGAGTCGAAAAGAAAACACGGAGAAACGAAAGCCTACGGACGAATCAATCAGATTCAAGGTAGCGGGTCTTGGATTTTAGCGCGGAATTCATTCATACATATGACTAAATAGCATTTTAGCATTACAGCTGAGGTTAGTTCGTAATGAAAACCCCAACTCTAATTCCTAACTCTAGTGCCCAAATCCTAATTCTTAATATTAATTTATAAGCTTCATTTAACTGTAATAAGGTCATTTAAGTATCACTCAAAGGTCGTCCATAAATTATACTCTCACCGAACAAATGAATAAAATGTTCAAGAGTTAAAAGATGAAGGGTGAATAAGTCTGTGTCTTAGTGATGTTTTGGACAATGCGCCCACTGACTTTTAGTATCCTTCCTAGTTAAGAAACGCAATAAATCTACAATTGCGTAAACGATAGGGACCAGAAGTTTGTATTTTATTTACCGAACAACTTGTAATCTGATCAGTTTAACAATTTATATCTTTTAGGCATGTAAACACAATTTATTCTATCTCAAAACAATCAATTCACTAAGGAACACCTATAAATCAACGAACTAGTGATAATAGTCGACCGAAAATTAAGAGAAGAAAGGGGGTACTAAAAAACATAATCTTTAATGGCATACCGGACTGGTGAAGGAGACCGATCGTCTTCATTATCTAAAGGACTACCATCAACATCTAAGGGATCTCCATCATACTGAACTAGCGGTTGGCTTTCCAGAACTTCGACATCCGGATTTAAAAACCCTAATTTTTTTGCCAAATCTTGATTTTGCTCATCTTCATCCAAATTTAATGGAATACCCGACAGGTCGGCTTCATAGTCAACAGCCTAAAAGGAATGAATGGATTTAAAAATAATCTCTGTAGAGTATACGGGCAATCTAAATTATTTCAGATTATGAAATCTGTTATATTTGAAACGAATCGAACAATAAACAACTAATAACACAGTTACCGCAACCCATAACATTAGTTTTCGATAGACTTGCCTTCAGTCATATGATCTCAAATACATACTATCATAAAGTAGTTATTGTCACTGATATTTCCGTACACTTTATTCTTAAAAATGATGAAATATTCACGTCGACTATTTTAATGGAAAGTAGTAATTTTTCTCAAAATAGCTACTTTTTTAAAATCTGGATAGTTATAAGAATTCCGGCATAGATTTTTTACTGAAGAGTATAAACACTGAGATCGAAACGATTTTAAACCGACATTACGAGTTGCTGAGTAGAAAGATTCTGAATATTAATTGGAAACCAGAGTGTAACAAATTGAAGTTTAAAAGTTGGAAATAAAACTAGGTAGCTTAGAAGTTGACAACTACACCAAAAAGGGTCTGGAATTCAAATGTACAAATCGGTAATTGGTTACAAAATTGCTAAAGTAGAACCGAAAGTTGATGAGGACAACGAAATATGTCAAAGCAAACTCACCTCCGACACCAACCCCAAGAATATATTCTGCAACTTGATGAGGAATTCATTCGGATATACGGCCCAGTCTTCCCACGCACGGAAACAAAGCATGACTTTTTGCTATAGTTATAATGTAAGTAATATGTGAAAAGTATAAGTTACCTTCAATTGTTCAGCTTTAAGTTTCCCCTCTACATTTTTATAATGCCAATTCAGGTTTTTGAACATATCTGGTAAGCAAGTTTCAAAACTAGATACAGAATTAATAAAATGAAATCGATTATGCAACTCAATACAGTCATAGTAATATTTATATCAATATTAAAAGTGAAAAGTCACATTACTGAAGGGAGAACGAATGAATATGTAAATTTACGTATATAAATATATACGTAAAGACACGCTATTGATTGACAGAATTAAATTAAAAATATCATTGTAAGCACAGGATTTGAAAAGCTTTGAAAAAAGTTGAAAAAGCTATTCAGTATAAGTTGCTTTTAAAAGTGATTCGACTAAAATTGATACGATGAAGATGAAGCATTGAAAATACATGGAAGAAAACAAATTCTGAAATATGTTAAATAAATTCTCAATAAGCTATTATTTCAAGTAACAACGTGCTTACAGATATATATATATCCTAATATTTAAGTAGATAAATAAACAAGTGTTACCAACCATAGGAACGTACCACTTTCGAAAGAAAGAAGCATTTGGAACTTTAGCTGATGAATTATATAGTATATCAGAAGCCAAGAACAAACGAGCGACCAATTTATTTATGCTTATAGATTGAGATTTCTCATGTTCTGTAGAACCCTGGTCGGATTTCAATTCAGAGATAGGATTTTCATCGACTGAATTTATTTCTTTTTCCAAATGATTTGAAGTGAAATTCGAATTTGGAGCAACTGAATCAACTATACACAATGCGATATCGGAGGCAGAATCCGCGTGTTCCAAACACCAAACCATAACCTCGCCTATTTTAATACGACAGGGTTCAAGATCCTCCAGCATTTGAGTAAACCGACCTCGTTGTGCTTCCGTCAAACCACAACGACGCGATGCGGCAGCAGCTTCTAAACGAATTTCTTCTTGCCTGTAGTAATAGGATTGGCAAAGAAATTTTCCAAATTCAAATACTCAGAATAATAAACACTATTATTCTTAATCGTAGTGTAAGGAAAATTAACAGTGAAACCCTTAAATTATACAGGAATTTTTTCAATTTTATTATCAAAATTACCATGAAAAGTTTGGAAGAAATGTGAATCGGTAAATTAGTGGGGATTTAAGTAATGAGCTTTGGGTGATACTTGTGAACAATCAATGATACTAGCCCATTACTCAAAAAACAGATAGAGGTTTGAACGCGTAAATACACAATTCGATGGCTGAGCCTTCTTTTAACTAAAATAACTTTTAAAAATATTTTAAAGTATTTAAATTACTTCTCTTTGAAAATTGCTGACTGTTAAACACTAATTATCCCACCTTGAAGAACTTTTTCTCTTAGCAGAAGTTAATATCACTGTTAGACATCAGGGATATGCATCCACGAGTTTATGAACCACAATAAGTCTTTTGATTCCTTAGCTCCCAAATGATCACGAACCAGAGATTTTCACAACGAAAAACGCCTTGAAAAGAAGCTAAAACATCTTAACAGCGATTAACTAATGAGTGATGAATGCAATTTTTAGCACAGACAATAATATCGATTGTTCCGTAATAGGTAAATCGAAATGAAAGTATTTTCTCCATAAATAAATAAGTTTGAACGGAAACCTAGTATCTCCACTTTATATCACATTTTAATAGACAGGAAAACTAGTGTAACTAAAAAGCAAGAAAATCCAGTGTCTGAATAAACTACTCACATTTCAACTATGGCGAAAACTTGTAAGAAATATACATGAGTTTATTGAGTATTTAGTTTCCACAAAATGCTTTGAGAGGAATTATGGGAAAATATTAGGCTGAATGACAATTAAAACTTTAAAATACAGAATTTTAAACAGTAATGGTAAAACTAGCATCTTTAAAACATGATTAATAAAGAAATTATAAGTTTATAATATCAAGATAAAAATATTGCGGGTTAACAGTGAGATAAACTGAGCCGAGACAGCTATTTATACTCACAAGTCTTCAGATTCACGTCTCCTTCCAGAAGGCGGAGGAACATATCCTGGGGCGTAAGGATAATCATCTTCTTCAACAAGGTCTTCTGGCATGCCACCAGAAAATAAATTAACAGGAGGTGGACGCCAAAGCGGACCACCTTCAAACATTCGAAATTCCTCTGTACGCCATTTGGTTACACTTTCACCCTTACACAATAAACATATAGACAAAATAGTGAATTCGAAATATTGTGAAAAATAGTAATGAGATACCAAATGTATAATTTTACTAGTTAACCAAAAAGAATTCACTCAAGTTTATCAACACGGAATATACATTATGAGTGTAACTCAAAAAACAAATGAAAAAAAACTAATATAGATACTGTATCAGATGAATTAGTATCAGTGGATAACGAAGGACACTACTGAGCACATTGAGTTTGAAAGGAAATATTTCAACATATGTTCCACAAACTGATAGTTTTTGATAAGACTGTAGTACTAATAAACAAGGATCTCAAGGTTTACATGTCACTCCAAAATTCTGCTGACATAATCTAAACTGCTGTTTATTTACCTTCACTTTTCCCTAAGCTTTGTCAAACCGGAAACTGCACACTTCTGTTTCTTTTTAGTTACCAAACAGTAATTATTACTTCCATTTGACTACTTTATTAACTGTATTACAAACTTATACGAATATTACCAAGCTATTGATGTTTGCCTTTTCATTGAATAGTTGAAGGTATTTTAGAGAGATAAATCTTCGCTTAATACTTTGCGTGCAATATTGGATATCGATTGGAGCATCCACCTGATATATAGCCAATGTTTCAAATTCATACCCATAATAATGCAAGCGCTTGATTCTGAAGCATGATTATTTCAAAACATGATTCCAAAAATATTCTCGATAAGATAAACTGACGTCAGTAATTTACTTTCACCTCAGCCAGAAGATAAAATTTGTTTGACGTTTATCAAACTGAGCTGCTGGTAACATCTGACGACCTAAAAAAGATGAGTGTACTATACAACAGTTTACCTTACTTTACCCTAAGAAAATGAGACATGGTTACTGAAATAAATTATTTGCCGCGGATTTGACTAATGGCTTCACATTTATCCAGAAGTGTTTGGTATAATAATTACTCTTAAAACTGCCGTTCGAGACATACGTGGTGTAGGATATAAGCACCAAGAGACAACATACAGAAAAATTACAAAACTGAAGGATAAAAGGTGAAAAGAACGATAAGGAAGAGGTTACACAAGAAACACTAAGGAAAGCTTCTTGTTTGTATTTTAGTGTTACTTGAACAAATGTTTACAGATAAATACTAAGCCTGATGATTATGGTTAAAATCGGTCCAACTATAGTTTTATGTAAAAACAAGATCTAAAATTTAAGTAATGTCATATTACTTCACAGTACTTCAGGAAACAATTGATCGGCAGAGGTGCTGACAGCTTTATATAGTTTATTCCATTTACAAAATGAAAAATAGTATCAATAAGAATAAATCTAAATTTATCAAACCGTGCACTTATTTCTCAGAATACAGCAACTAAGAATTAGGTCATTAGCTGGACGTTTGATCACCATGAGAATTCGACGGTCATAGGAAGATTCGATGTAAAAACTACTTTTTTATTTACGATATATTAACTGATATTCGCTGGTAATGTTTGGTTCTCAAGAACCTGCATCGCTCTTATCATACTAGTTTACCTAACAGTATAGCAACGTACAATGTAGAAATCCTCTATTTTTACCGCATATTAATGTCACTATTTATATAAAGTAGTTGTGTAAGAATTTATTCATGTCCATCAAGTAACTTTTCTATAATACTTTCTGATGATGCCTGTAACTATGGCTACAAATATAAGGCAAACGAGTTGGAAACTTACATGTAGGACAGACCACAACTTCCAGCGATAGTATACATGATCCGAAGACTGATAATCAAAAAGGAATCTAAATAACGTATCAGTTAGGAGTTAATTATTAAACACAACATTACTTAAACATAGGATTATTTGCTTCCCGATGCATAACCGCGGCCTCGAATTGAGGACCTTCAAGAATGACAAATTCAATCATGCGATGAATCAGAGCAAGTATGGATCTGAATTTTGAAAGAAATTAGAAAAGTATAAAATGATACTAGCAAACACTTACCTATCACTTGGCATAACGACCTTAACCACCGCTTCACGGAGAACCTTTAAATTAACAGAAAGAGTATGAGTGCGATGAAAGTTTAGGTCATGTTTGAAGTAAATGAGTTTATAAAGTTCACAGCACGAATTTCTTAAAATATATTGCGGATAAAAACGCCAAAATATATCCAACATCTGGTCATGAATTAAAGACCACCGATACGTTCATCATAGATTTTAGCTGTCTTATTGCTATACACGGGAAAAGGCCTGCTAAACGATGACTAACTTAATGAACAGTCCCAAAGTCAGAACCGAGAGGAAAAGATCACATTTCTCAAAAGGAAAGATCTACCCATGAATTGAACGGATTTTGAAATTTGCATTAGGAAGTGAAACCAAAGAACAAATAACTAACTCGACAAAAACGCTATACAAAAAAGAATGCTTAAGTAGATAAAAACCAGGGAAAAATTAGTTCCAAATACTTTAAAACTAAACTGACTGATGAGATAATTACCTTACTCAATCCATCTAAATGTCAAGCTGTTAATTTTAGCTTGAGACATGGACAGAACCTACACTCTATTTTGGGATCCCATAATGCTTGTGCCATTGGAGACTCCTTAATAAACAGTGTCGAAGGTCAAATATCTTGGTGTCATTTTTTCCTCTGATCTTTCTTGGTATTCTCATGTTTTACTCTTATCGAAAAAAGTTTACCGTTTGACATACTACATAAAGAGGCTGCATGCTTTTGGGATTACTCGCCATTTACTCTTACAATTTGTAAATTCCTGCATATTACCTATTATTCTATATTGTTCTCCATTATTCCTTCCTGGGCTTTTGAGAAAAAACTTTGCTGTTTTGCGTAGAGTGCTGAAGGCGGTTTGCAAGGTATGTGGTGAATCTTTTGAAGTCATTATTAATATGCTTGTGGATAGACATCTTAAGTGTTGCAAACTCTTGGTAGGTGTTATCTTATCAGATACTAACCATCCGCTTCATTCATATCTTTCTCCTTGTATATCTTCTGGTAGAACGAGACGTAAATACATTAAAATCCATACACGCAAGCAAGTCTATAAAAGTTCTGTAATACCTTACTTAGCAAATTTACTTTGCGACGAGCAGGCTGTTAGAGTTGACCTAGTAAATAACCTGTCTTCTTAAGCATGTTTCAAATTTGATAATTTGTATAAACTCAGTTTTTCTTGAACCTTTTTCATTCCTTTTCTGTTTTTTTGTTTGTTTTTCTTGGGCTTTTTTGTTTGTTTTTTTGGTAAAAAACTTGTCGAAATAACTCGTGCTGAGAATTCTATATTGTATCAGATTATAATAAAGCCATTAATAATAATAATAATCTCTAAATATTGACTAAATGACGTACTGATCCTTGCATGTCCCCAAGTGGAAATAAAGTGGATGAATACAAAACTTCAGAGAATTATACTTGAATACAATTATGCCGAATAAGAGATCATCTTAACAACTCACACTCATTCAAGACCAAAACAGCAAATTCAAGAACACATTTGGTTTGCTAAAGTGGCCTAATATTATGAAACCCACAAGCAGAATATGGTATTAATAACTACCATGGTCTTTTACTATGAGATTTTACGGTTCGCACTATCTTAGTGAAATGATTGATTGTGAATCGTTTTTCTGGGTTATGTAAATTTTGGTAATATATTAAGCGAAGTGACTTAGGACCCGTACTTAATGAAGGTGGATAGAATGACTTTTCACTAGCGCACTGGTTACGATTATTGTGAAGAATCCACCTAGGAAGTCAGATGATCACTAGTATCATTGATTTAAGCTATTAGTAGATCTGTTTATAAAGTCCTTCAATAACCCGGTTAGATAAACTAGAAATCAATGAGTAGACGAAAACGAATTTTATCATACACACGATTTTCACGGAATAGAGCAAACTCAACAAACTTTCATTTTGGCAGCAACCGTGATAGAAGATGTGACAGTCACCCAAAATGTGGAAAGTGGTCCATTCCCCCTTATCAAAAATTTGACAAACTAAGGGAACAGGGCAAAAGCACGACCTGAGATGTACTTACAAGTAATAAACTAACTGTACAATAGTAGGTCTGCAATAAGGAGTATATAAAACTGTCACTTGTATTATCTTTTTTAGGAGCACGATTTTTTTTGAAGGGTTTTGTAAAGCATGAACACAGAGGGTCTACCTAGGGGGGTTGGAATACCCTGATTCCAAACCAATGGTGCATATGGGCTCCAGGATCCGGAAGGGACGAATACTGTATAAACCAATTATTGGTCACCGGTTATCATGGAACTGAATCTCCTAACGTTGCTTCACTGCCTCGTAGACCAGACCTTTAGGTTGAAGGTTCCGGGTGTGGCCCCTAAGAAAACCACTTGCTTGTCTGGGCACCCGGGCAGTATCGCAGCCCACACGCAAATCAGGTGACGTGTGTGGCGCATATGTATTCGGTGCCCCTTTGTACTAATTTTTACGTGTTCAGATAAATGAATAAATAAATAATAAAGCATGAACACCAATTCATCGACTAAAGATATATAATAGTCACTATAACTCGGAATCAGGTAATCACAGACTACAGAGATTTGAATTTAGCGAAAGTGGGTATATGTGGGACGATAAACAGCGTAACTTAAAAAACAGCGGAGCAGAGTTACTCGTTTATAAAAACTAATTGATTTATTGGTTTATTACGTTTGGGCTAGGCAAGAAGTTGCTATACAGATGATCAATAGAGATTCAGAGTTGACTCAAGGCTGCCTGTGCTAGTTAACGTATCACTGGTTTAGCACAAGGACAACTGCAATACACGTGGTGCATGCCAAAAAAAAACAGAATTGTCTTTAAATATTGAAATTCATAGCTATTGGCAATCGTAAACTAAACTAGACGAAATTTCAATTCAAAGTGCTCACCTGGATTCAGTACGTAGAGGTATGGAACATTACCACTCGGAGTAAACCGTTTAGTTGATAGAACTGTAGTTGTTGAAGTACACTATTTGAAAAAGTTCTTAAGTCATGTCAACTTACCAAATTTCCGTAAGATTACCGATAATTGAATACAATCTGGACAAAATGAATCAGATTGGAACAATATTTCAAAAAGGACTCCTGTCTTACCAGCCAGTTCAGTATATTAATTAATAAGACATAGTTCAATAAACACTAACCAACTAAAATGTTTATTTATTTATTTAAACACATAAATATTGGTACACGGAAGCACCAGATACATATGCGCCATACAAATCTCATGCGGAAAACACAATTCTCTAAGTCATTCAAATATATTTTTGTGAAAGCTTACTATGACGATACTCAACAAGTCACTAAACCTAATACACATGAAGAATTAAGAGATTACTATCGAGTCTTCGGTTGAGTATACATCGTACAAAGTATATTGTCCAGCGAATAATATTGACTACTAAAAAATCTATTTAAAACTTAGTTTTGCAAGAATGGAAAGACTCTAAATACTAACTTCAGTAAGTTCTTCACTCGACATCTTGTTTATATCGTAAGGCTTTCGGTCTGGGGCCGGAGGTGGTGGCGCGCTCTCACCGTCTGCACCATCAGTTACAAGTTTGGCTCGCTCCTTGATCGCCAAGCGGAATGACTTTAACCACTCTCTAGGTTGGGCATTGAATGGTAGTCCACTCGGGGGAGGTGGTTTAACCAACTCAAGCAATGCCGGAGGAATGTAAACTGGGTATAAAGGGATTGGGACGCTTTTCCCCCAACCCAATTTCATTTCAAATCCCATAAGTTCCTTCCCTGTAATACAAAATATGTATACTACGTTAATGAATAATAAATTCAAATAAAAAACTGAGGAAACAAATACAAAGCATAAATCACGATACTAAAGCTTTAATTTAACAAAGTAGTACATTAAGGAACGGGCCATACTAAAAATACTGACAAATTTCGTAAGATAATGAGAAATCATAATTCTAACAATAATGAAGGATGTTTCTACAAGATGAACAGAATTTACTCTACTCAACTACGCATGTCAAATAGAGAAAAGCAAAGTACCCCTGGAGTGAATTTGTCACACCTGAGAATATAACCAGGATAAGACAACAAATGCTAATTAAACAAAACTGTATTCATTTTCCCGTCAATCACGTAAACTGATTTTCGATTTTTACTACCGTCATTAAAGACAAGAACCACACTACACAACTTTTACGAACAAAATGTTTTTAAAACACAGAAACTAACGCATAAAAGGGATAGATTGAATACTGACCTTTACTTTTCTCTGACAATGTCGATGATCAGCGTTACTAGAACGATATCTCCACGAGATTTAAGGTTTTTGGAGACTAAAACAGTTAAACTTTTACTTAAACACGAATATTGGTTCAAGGAAGTACCGAATACGTATGGACCGCACGAACCATGCGATTTGCATGAGGCCACTCAACGTTAACTGTAAGGATACATAGTATAACCATTAAACACACTCATTCAAGTGGTGCATATCTACTTGCTTCGCAACAAACGTATTCCAAGTAAATATACACGACCTTAACTCTCGTTACACAACGATTCATTTGCTTGCCTACTACCATGGTGAGTAGACGCACAGCTGCGTGAGACCCCATGCTAGTTACAATCGAAGCACGGGTTGTTGCAAAACTTTACACTTATGATAAAAGATAATTAGTATCTTAACAAGTGAACTGGGAACAAATTCAATATGTAAATTATTTGCTAATACTAGTACGAATTTAAACCTGGTAATTAATTGCTTAAAATGCATAAATCAAATTTAGAGTCGTTCTTTTAGAAATGGGTTTACGTGCTTTGAGTTATTAACAGAAAGTAGTGCAAACCACGTCCAAACTCCGACTTAGAGAAAAATAAACTGACCTCTAATATTATCGAGGGCTCGTTCGCCATCTTTTCTATTCATGAAAGCAACAAACCCACAGTTCCTTCCTCTCGAACGTTCTTCTTCTGTTCTAGGCCACATTATTTTGACACTTGCAAGAGGACCGTAACGACCAAAAGCCTCACACAGTTGTTGCTCCGTCATCTGAAGATGTGATGTACTGAGTAAAACCGAAATACTTTAGGGTTTAGATTCCCAAGAAAAAGATTTGTCGTTGTTCTGTCACCATCGTAATCATATGGGTAATCAACTAAATAAGGTTAACCATTGGAAGTGGAAATTACCATCATGACGATCGTTTTGGCTACGTTTAGAATAAAAGCTTGGTGGTGTCGACACTGTGTTGTGAAAACCCATACCTGAATCTCCACCTTGATTATTTGAAGAGCCCCGCCGATATTCCCGATTACGCATGCCAACGTCGGAAAGATCTAGCTCAGACTGTGTGGAGGGTTGATTTCTTCCTTGCCTTAATGCATGTCTTTGTTCTCTTTGTTGCTGAATCCTAATTGTGGTCAAGTTAGAGGGTTGTCACATGAACATACAATTTGAGCTCCTCTTTGAACTGTTCTAGTTTGGACTTTTTTTGTTCTTGTCCCTTGCGTTTACCGAGAGCTGGCTACAAACAAGAATAAGGTGGATAATTTCTTACAGGTTTTTCAGTGGACTTCTTGAGATCTGCTTTATTTTGATCCTCAGTTTTATTTAATTTAGAATCCAACTTCGAGACAGGTCTGTATATGCGGCCAGTTCCTTTCGTATCCTCCGAGGACCCTATAGCAGCTAGTATTATCAACAATCAAAGTTATATACCTGAAGACGGATTAACGACACCACCTTTAACCCAAGCTCGGGATTTAGAAGGCTCCTCAAAAGTGGCGACAAATTCCTCAAACACTTGCTGTGTATGCTCTTCCTCTTTCTGAAATTCGAGAAATTAATTAGCAGTACACTAACCTTCTTCTTCTGATCAAAATCATTCCGCTTTGAAGATGACCTACTAGACTTGATCAGATTACTACTGTGTCCACCGGATTTCTCGTTAGACTTCATTTTTTCACAGATGGCGCCATGAATATCATAAGAGAACTAAAACGTGAACTTGATTATCTAAAAAACCTTAACACCAGATAGCACTAATCAGCAGCTTGCTTCGCAGAAGAGATAGAAGTCTTCAATTTCTAATCACAACCACAAGGAATGCTAATTCTGTCATGTCGTAAATACGTTTACATATTTATAATCTTATTATGTTAACAGTATGATAGTGGTAATTGGCTCCATAAGATAAATAGATTTGTGGGTGGTTAACACCTTTTCTAACCTTGTCAGTTTTAACGAATACTTCCATCTGAGATTTTTCAGTCAAGTATTACTGTTTCTGTCTACTTTAAGTGGTTGATAAATCTAAGATTCATTATCCCACAACTCTTAGTATTTTGTCTTCTGGATTTAAACTTGTGAAATAATTCTTTATTCGTTAACTGATGAGAAGCAGTTTAGAATAGCTTGCTACTCTGCTTCTTGTATTGTTTGCACGGCTTCTGACAAAGTTTAGTATCAGTACCATCCAATCTCATGCGGTAATGAACTGTTAAGACCAGCAGTTATCGCAACACCTATCACTGATTTAGTCGGTTGTTTTCAGCAAAGATTATGGAGTTCAAAGAGTAAAGCATTAAGAGGGAAAGTGAGGATAAAATGGTTTAACTGAACAGATGACAGGATACAGTTGAAGTAATAATCATGCACATAAAAGCGCGCTATTCGAACGGGAAGTTTAGTCCTAACGTGATTTACATTTCTCAAACTTTTGCTGTGTTCTTACGCAACAAAAGTATCATTTCCAATCCAAAGAATCTATTATGAGCTATACGTTCGGTAGATTACTTCTTTTTTTGTGTTTCACTCAAATTAATAGTTAACTGTGGTTTTGCCTCAGCTCACTATCGGTTTTTTTTATAGTTTTCACGTAAAGGCTAGCTTTAGCTTATCGTTAACTGTTTTTATACAATTTTGATAGTTTTTGTTTACTTTGTGTTTTTTTTAACGGTCCTAAATTTACTGCTTATATTTTTAAGACAGTCTAAATCACCAGCCATGAAAAATTCATGCAAGAGACCTGGTTGCCGTTTTGCCGTTACATCTGGCATGCAATGTGACAACTGTAAAGGTTGGTTCCATGAGGCATGTACAGATCTAACAGCAGCAGCCTATAGCAGACTCAGCAAGTCTGATCGTAGGTGGGTATGTGTTACCTGCAACACCGATAGGGTAGTTATGTTGGGTACTATCATTACTTTACTGACAGGTCTGAGAGATAAGTTGTCTAAGAATTCGGTAAATGATATCATCATGACGGGTAACAAAGCTGGGACGCATAGGGCAAATAAGAAAAAGGATACTGACAGGTCGGTTATCGACGGTGCTGTTAACAGCACGAGTGATGATGTGCTGAAACTCAGCACCATCTTAACATCGACTGTCATCGACTCCCTCAGTAAACTTGGGTCCCCGGGGAACGGTCCTTGAATGAGACAGTGGTTCCCAAAAATCCTGTAGGTGGATGGACTCACGTTAACAGGAGTAATAAAGCCCAAGCGTCCCCTCCGAAACTGAACGTCCCAAGTATTATGCGGAAATCAGTTGATGCTTTGGCCGCACAATCTACACCCAAGACTGTCCGCCCGGTCATCACTGAGCCCAGGAATCGAAAACGCGCCTCGACATCCAAACAACAAGATACCAAACCTAGACGCCCTGGAAAACCTGGGAAGTCAATTGCGGTTCGTGACGACTCTGTCATAATCATGAACCTTATTGACTACCCCGACCTTCCTCTCAGTTTGCAGGACAAAAACGATAGGATGCTCTGGGGAGAATTAATCAAGAGGCTTGAACTCCCTAGAATAGAGCCTTTGACCGTCACACGGCTCACTCGGGGGAAGGACTCTAACCACCTAAACCACCCGAGGCTGCTTCGTGTTACACTTAAGAATGCCTCCGACGTAGAGGACGTCCTGCTAGCCAGTCACTTACTGAGGTCCGATGGGAACGTAAGAATACTGCCCGACATACCGTATTCTGAACGAAATCTCATCCGGAACATCCCTAAGGAATCTCGCGAGGCGTTTTTCCGTGGACGAAATATCATTGTGCAAGGTGTGCCGGAAAATATGGACCCAGCTCAAGCAAACTCTGATATTCGGGAATGGAAATTCATCAAGCATTCCTTAAAACTCAAGAACATATTGACCCAACAGGTAATGAGACTGGCCAAGAGAGACGGAGACTCTAGGCCCCGGCTGCTGAAGATAACCTTCCCCTCCTCCCACATGGCGGCTGCAACTCTGGAAGCATTTCGTGCCAATAGACGTCGGTTGCCAACTGGCATCCATATGCATCCGGATAGGCCCCACGACAGCAGGATCAAGCACAAACGAAAGCTGGAGCTGACAATTCCACTCATGGACTGTCTTGATCATAAAAAAAACGTGTAAAGGACAGAGACTACCGACTCGGTAAACATCGTATAGGTAGGCTACCTGTCCACTCACACACGGCTGATATAGACAAACAAGAAGAGGCTCACGCGTTCCAAATTGAAAGCATTAACTGCCTATACACGAACGCCGCGAGCTTGCCAAACAAAATGGATGAGCTACGTGAACTTAGCAACGCTAATGATGCCCATCTGATAGGAATATCCGAAACTTGGATAACGTCTCAGTTTACGGACCAAGAGTTAGCAATAACTGGGATGTCTTTATTTCGCGACGACAGAAAAACAGGAATGGGGGGTGGGGTAGCACTATACGTACGGTCATGCCTGGATGCGCACCAACTTCACAACCAAGAGTTTCACAATCTTGACGAGTCAGTATGGTGCTCAGTAAGATTATCTACCACCTTGAGGTGCCTAGTTGGGGTCGTTTACAGGAAGCACACTGCCGACATCGAATATGACAAACGTCTGCTGGAAGGATTAGCTCGCTCTACGCGTCTCGGATTCTCTCATATCCTGATTCTAGGGGATTTCAATCTCCCTAGAATCAACTTCGTGGAACATACACACATTAGTGGTGCCAACTCTACTGAAGCTCTGTTCTTCAACCTTATCGGCAACCAGGGATTATTTGAAAATGTGAAGTCGGCAACCCGTTGAAGAAACAGTCAGACGCCATCACGCTTAGACTGGGTATTCACAAACGAAGAATTCCTAGTTGACGACCTCTCAATCCTGGCTCCCCTGGGGAAAAGTGATCACGCCGTCTTATCATTCAGCTTTGTCAGCAAGACGGAGCTACGATATCCTACTAGCAACAAGCACTGGAATTTCAAACGGTTGAATGTGTTAGCTTTACAGGACTATCTTCAACAGTTGGATTGGGATGTTCACCCTCAAATTGAAGTGGATGCTCATTGGGATTTTTTATAGCACACGATCTTATGTGCTACTGAGCATCCAGTTCCTAAAATGGTCCCAAAAAGCTACAAGCAACCTGCAATCATCAAGAACCGCACTCGTCGTTTGCTAAGCCGCAAAAGGCACTGTTGGGCTGAATATAAACGAACTGATAACAACGGCGCGTACAGGCAATACAAACATATAAGGAACATATGCACAAAGGCAATAAGAGAAGACAGGCTTCAGTTCCAGACCAAGCTTATCGATAGATTCGTCTCCAATCCGAAAAGCTTGTTCAGTTATGCAGCTTCTCTTCGACAAGGCAAAACTGGAGTTTCCCAACTGCTTGGTCCTAATGGCCCGACCAACAACGACAGTGATGCCGCTAACCTTTTGGCTGAACATTACTCCCGGACATTCCAGCTGAACCACATCAACCATACTGACGAAAGCTTCACCTGCACCTGTACAGGACTTTCCGAAGTGGACCTGAGTGCTGACTTGGTGCTCCGTAAACTGCAGAACCTAAAAAAAGACACTTCTCTTGGTCCGGATATGGTTCATTCCGCTGTATTGAGGGAAGCAGCTTCAATCCTGGCGACACCACTTAGCGTGATGTTTGCACACTCGTTAAGCAGAGGCAAACTACCGGAAATATGGAAGCTGGCCCACATCACACCAATTTTCAAAGGAGGTCGACGCAGTGAGCCCTCAAGCTATCGACCAGTGGTCCTTCTTTCCATACCTTCAAAAATTATGGAATCCCTAGTATTCCACGGCATACTAGAACACTTATCATCCTCAAAGTTCTTCTCGCCTCAACAGCATGGTTTCAGAAAAGGTCATTCTTGTATGACCAACCTGCTGACTGCGGTGGACAGATGGACAACCATCCTTGATCGCAAGGGGAAGGTTGACGTCATCTACCTGGACTTCTCAAAAGCTTTTGATAGGGTCAACCATGCATGTCTTATCAAGAAGCTTGGACGATTGGGTATAAAACCCCCTTTAATTGACTGGATCACTTCATACCTAGAAAACCGACATTTTAAGGTCAGGGTTAACTTCACTCTCTCTCAGGCTATGGAATGTCCTAGTGGGGTCCCTCAGGGTTCAATACTAGGACCTCTTCTCTTCTTGGTTTATATTAACGATCTTCCTCAACAAGTTTCATCTGATTTATTGCTTTTTGCTGATGATGTGAAACTTTGGAGAGAGATACGTACTCACAATGATATACTAGTTCTGCAGGAGGATCTGACTCGACTTCAAAGTTGGGCAGACGACAACGGACTTACCTTCAACACTTCAAAGTCCAAGGTAGTCCATCTGAGATATGTTGCAGACTAAAGTTATAACTTAGGTAACTCCCTTCTAGAAGTTTCCCAAGTTGAAAAAGATTTATAGTGTTGGTACCCTACGACCTGAAATCGTATGCGAACTGTGACAAAAACGCCTCTCAAGCAAACCTTGCACTGGTAACATTGAAGCGCATTTTTGGCCAGTTTGACGGTAGAACCTTCCACATAATCTTCAACAGTTTTATTCGTCCCCACTTAGAGTACGGAAACATAGTATTTCCTCCCTCCCTCCAAAAGGATAAGGTCACTCTGGAACGTATACAACGTCGAGCCACGAAATCAGT